CCTTCAGCTCAGGGTCTGGCTCCCAGGTTCTGGAATCAAGTCCCACATTGGGTTCCCCACAGGAAATCTGCTTCTCCCTCTGCCTCTCTCTCTGTGTTTCTCATGAATGAATAAATCAAATTTTTTTAAAAAAATTATTTATTTTATTTGAGAAAGAGAGAGCATAAGCAGGGGAGCAGCAGAGGGAGAGGAAGAAGCAGACTCCCTGCTGAGCAGGGAGCCAGATTTGGGGCTTGATCATGGGTCATAAAGACCCTGAGATCATGACCTGAGCGAAATCAAAAGCTGGATGCTTAACTACACTGAGCCACCCAGGTGCCCCTAGAAGCTCCTTTAAATTCTTCATCTTATTATTACAAATTCTGAACGAAATCCTTAAAGATCCAAATCTGTTGATTTTTGTTTCTGTTGATTCTTCCTCATGGTGCTTTGAGTCCTTATGTATTTGGAAATTTGGGGGGTGAGTCTATTCTTGGTAGAATTTAATCCAGAAGCTTGGGCTGAGCATGCTTTCCTCTAAGGAGGATTCAGTTTACTCCTGCCAGATTCCAGAAGGTATTACTAATCTAAGGCCACTGAAAATTTTCAGCTTCTGATTTACTGATCAAAGGGAAAGTAAAAATTCCAGCCACAGATGCTTGTAAGAGCAGATCTCACATGGAAACCAACATTTTTATTAGTTTTATCGAGTACTATAGACAGGCTCCCTCGTAAGTTCCCTTTGTTAGCAGGTGTACTTTTTCCTTTCCACTGAGAATGTAGCACATTTGAGGTTCCCAACTTTTTGAGGAATAAGGGTGTCTCACATTTAGTTCTTCCATCTTCCTAGGCCCTATGGCTGGCTCACTCTGTGGTTCTTCCCCAACCTTCCATATCCCCTTCACAGCCCTCAAAACTCTACACTTCTATTTAGTTGACTTTCTGTTTACTATTTACTTTTTGTGTTGTGTTGTTTTATTTTATTAGTTTTAAGGAGATGACCTGGGGAGATTACCTTTCTTTTCTTGAAAGCTCATTAAGGAATTTTTTTTAACATGTTGGTTATGTTTTATGTAGCATTTAGGTATCCTGCTATGGGAGGCTTTTGAGAACTCTGTCATACTACTGGAAGAGAACTTTTGAAACAAACAAGCAAAAATGTGATTATATGGTACATCTTGCTTTGTAACCTGCTTTTTTTCCAACTTGATATATGATGAACATCTGTCATGTTAATAAATATAGGTGTAGAGCATCATTTTATTTTTTTTTTATTTTATTTATGATAGTCACACACAGAGAGAGAGAGAGAGAGAGAGAGGCAGAGACACAGGCAGAGGGAGAAGCAGGCTCCATGCACTGGGAGCCCGACGTGGGATTCGATCCCAGGTCCCCAGGATTGGGCCCCGGGCCAAAGGCAGGCGCCAAACCGCTGCGCCACCCAGGGATCCCTGGTGTAGAGCATCATTTTAATGGCTACATAGTGATCCACTGAATAATTTATTTATAATCTTTATAATATAAATTTATCTTTTTCCTATTATTGGATATTTAGGGTTCTATTTTTTCACTATGTTAAACAATACTTCGGTGAATATCCTTACTGCTAAATTATTGCATACATATGAACTTCTTATTTCTTTAATTGTTTATAAAAGTAATCTATGCTAATATAAACTATTCAAACACTAAGGAAAATGAAAATTCTCCATAATCCTTTTTGCCATCCCCTCAATTAATAAAATTTGATCTATAATTGGAATCTCTTACTCAAATGACAGATAAGAATTTGGTGGGGTGCATGGGTGGCTCAGTTAGTTAAGTGTCTGCCTTAGGCTCAGCTCATGATCCCAGGGTCCTGGGATGACCCCCACAACAGGCTCCCTGCTGGGGGGGAGTCTGCTTCTTCCTCTTCCTCTGCCCCTCCCCCTGCTTATGTTCTCTCTCTCTCTCAAGTAAATGAATAAATAAAATCTTTAAAAAAAGAATTAGGAAAAATAAATAAATAAAAAAGAATTAGGGTAGAATATGTAAGAAAAGAAATCACATTCTCTGCCCTCCCACCTCTACTACTAAAGACAGGGAACCAGAGCAGGTCTTAGGGATGGGCTGAAGGTAACCAAAGACAATCAGGAGCAAAGAACTGAAGGGATGAGAGACACCTAAATAGACTCCAAAAGCCTGGGACAGGGCAGAGGCTCTGTAAGGGGTCAATGGCACTAGGCCTCAAGAAAGGCCACAGTTCTGAGGTGCCTAGGTGGCTCAGTCGGTTGAGTATCTGCCTTTAGCTCTGGTCATGATCCTGGGGTCCTAGGATCGAGTCTCATATCATGCTCCTTGCTCAACAGGGTGTCTGTCTGCTTCTCCTCTGCTTCTTCTCCCTCTGCCCCCACCCCTCCCCCCTCCTCATGCAATTTTCTCTCTCTCTCTCTCTCTCTCTCTCTCCCCCTCTCTCAGGAAAGGCTACAGTTCCAAATGCCAGGGATCAACTCTGTTTCACCAGCGAGAAGCAGAGGGTCTTCTCAGGCACTTACTCCAGGCTCCTCTCCATACCCCAACTTCTTTTAAATGGGTTTGGTTTATTTTGAGTCAAAAAGTAGTTCAGGCTCTGACACTATCCCCAATCCCACATTTATAGCTGCTTGCCCCCGATTGTCAGGGCCTTATTCCAATCTGAAGATACTTGCCATAAAAAACAGTTGGTAAGCACCCTTCTAATGCCTTTCTGCCTGTTCCCCCTCAAGTGAAGCCCAGGGTCTTCTCCCAAAAGAGAATCATGAAAAGGATAGCTACCCTTTCTGGTGGCTCTGGGCTCCTGACTTGACTTGTTTGAGGACCTGCTGCACTTGCCTTTATATTTTGTGAGATACCACCCTGTCTCTACAATAAAGTTGACTTTGGAGGGGTTCTGTCAACCATGCGGGTACAACTGAGAGCCCCCAAACCTTAAGGAAGCTCAACCTCCTTCTTTCCTCCCAATGAGTATGGACTGACCAAAGTTGTAAGGAAGCCCCAAAAGTCTTGGTTATTTATTTATTAATTCAATTCAACAAATATTTATTGAGTGCCTACCAAGTCCTGGCTATTAAAAGAGACTACAGTCTTAGAATTCCCTAAATAGCTCCAAAATAGCACAAACTGACTCCACCAAAACTCATGGTATGGGTCCTGGAGTTTCCAGCTGCTCCAGAAACCACAGTAACCCGCTGGCCACTTCTGTTCCATCCAGCAGAGCCCAAGGACTGCTGGACAGAATGGAAAGTGTGTACCAAGGTGATCATCTTCCAGTGAGAGTCTGCCCGTGAAGGACTGAGTGCCCAGTACAGAGAGTTTCCACACAGAGTTTCCACAACTTCCAGTCAGGCCTTGGGTATCCAGCTCAGGAGTGGAAAGTAGGGAGTGGGTAAAACACAGACATCTTTGTCTACCCTGCATCCTTAAGCCTCCTCAAGCTCCTGAGTTCCCAAAGGCCCTTGTCCAGAGTATACGTTTGTTGGTAACACACGTTAACCAGGGAATTTGCATGGAGGGAGCGGAGAGGGGGAGGACAGGGATGTGTTTCCCCTCCAGTGTCTCTCACAATACCAGACGCCCTTGGCTGGGCCAATTCATCTAACTGACCACCTTGCCCTAGGAGTCAAGTCACTACCAATGCAAAGGCTTGCCTTAGCTGTTAGGGACTGGACAGGAACACCGACAGGGACCTTCCACTGCACTATTAGACTCTTCACACCTTCTTTTTTTTTTTTTTTTTTTTAATTTTTATTTATTTATGATAGAGAGAGAGAGAGAGAGAGGCAGAGACACAGGCAGAGGGAGAGGCAGGCTCCATGCACCGGGAGCCTGACATGGGTTTCGATCCCGGGTCTCCAGGATCGTGCCCTGGGCCAAAGGCAGGCGCTAAACCGCTGCGCCACCCAGGGATCCCTCTTCACACCTTCTTTAGCCACATTCAGGGCCAGCTGGGAAGTAGCGCCGTGAAGCCTATCTGAAAATGGGAACACTTGAGGGTTCTGAGCTAGGCTTGAGGTCAGCTCCATACTGGCTTGGGCAAGATACTTAAGCTACCTGTGCCTGTTCTCTCATCCATAAAGAAGTAATAAAGGAGGATCCTTGGGTGGCTCAGTGGTTTAGCGCCTGCCTTCAGCCCAGGGCGAAATCCTGGAGTCCTGCGATTGAGTCCGGGGATCAAGTCCCACATCAGGCCCCCTGCATTGAGCCTGCTTCTCCCTCTGCCTGTGTCTTGCCCGTGTCTCTGCCTCTCTTTCTCTCTGTGCCTCTCGTGAATAAATAAATATTTTTTAAAAAGAAGTAATAAAAGCAGTACTAATCTCCCTAGGGTTGACATGAGAATTAAGTAAGCTAAAATAGGTACCTGGTACTTTTGAGCTTTATAGAATTGTTAGCTATGATCGTAAGGGCATTTGGGGGATTGCTGAGCGCTAGCAACATAGAACCCTCCTCGGGACCATCGCCTCCCCACCCCAGGCCCAGTAGCTGGTGGAGCCAAAAATCCTGCGCGAGAAGGGACAGACACCAGCTGCAGGAGTGGACTGTGGGCTCCTCGCAGATGAGGACTCCTGCGGCACCCTAAATGCTCAGTGACAGCTAAGCTGGCTGTGACACGCAGCAGGTGCTCAGGAAACATGAGTTAGTAAAGAAAAGCACTCTCTTCCGTTGGCCTCCAGGGCCCACCACAAAGTCAGAAGCCCTGGGTTAGGGCAGCCCAGGTGGCTCAAGCGGTTTAGCGCCGCCTTCGGCCCTGATCCTGGAGACCCAGGATCGAGTCCCACGTCGGGCTTCCTGCATGGAGCCTGCTTCTCCCTCTGCCTGTGTCTCTGCCTCTCTCTCTCCTCTCTGTGTATTCTCAGAAATAAATAAATAAAATCTTTAAAGAGGGGGGGAAAAAAAAGCCCTGGGCTAGACCAAGGTTCCGCCTAGCTTCTGCCCGCAGATGCACCCCCGGGGCGTGCACCAGCCGCGCCCGCCAAGGGCGGAAGTGCTGTCGTCCCTCCGCTCCTCCCCCTCCGCGTGGAAGTGCGAACCGGGAAGCGGAATCCGTGCATTGGAGCCGGGCCCTAGCCCCAGAGATTGACCCTCTCACACCCCGGCTCCCAGAAGTCACTCGGTCGGTGTAGACTTGCACTTTCTGACCCGATGTCCGGCGGCAGGTTATGGTCAGTGGAGGGCGGGCTGCGGCTCCAAGCCTCCGACCCTGGCCGTCCGGCCCTCCGCGGGAGCGTCGAGCCCCCGGGGTCACGGAGGTGGGGCAGGTGGGCGGTCCGCGGAGCAGCTGGAAGACCAGGCCCCCCCTCTTTCAGGCAGAGCGGTCCCCGAGCCCCCGTGGTGCCTGTCGAGGAACTGGAGAATCCCGAGTTCGTCGGCGCAGGTGGGTTCGGGGCGGTGTTCCGCGCGCGGCACAGGACGTGGCGCACAGGTGTGGCGGTCAAGATCTTGGAGGGGTGAGTGGCCGGAGCTGACGGCCGCCCCGGTCTGCCCGAGGAGGAGGGGCCGCTGTGCTGGGAGCCCGAATCGGGAGGGGACGGATCTTCCAGGAACAGAGCGTTACTCCCACTCTTTCCTGGAATGCAGGGAGGCGGTATCCAGGGAGGTGAGGGCCATGGCCAGTCTGTGTAACCAGCACCTGCTGCTCCCGCTGGGAGTCACCCAGAAGCTGCAGTGGGAATATGCCTGTGGGCCTGCTCTGCTGACTCCATTTATGGAAAATGGTTCCCTAGTAGGACTGCTGCAGCCCCACTGTCCCCGGCCCTGGCCACTCCTCAGCCGCCTGCTGCAGGAGGTGGTGCTGGGGATGTGTTATCTGCATAGCCAGAATCCTGTGCTTCTGCACCGAGACCTCAAGCCCTCCAACGTCCTGCTGGACTCAGACCTGCACGCCAAGGTCAGCCTCTCCATTGCCCAGCCCAGCCCCTGGACACAGAACCTGGTGCAGTCCTCTCTACTCCATACCCTCAGCATCTCCCTCTGGATACAGGGTTGCCCAAAGGTCAAAGCCCACCCAGGAGCTTTAGCCCCTACCACACCAGGTATGAGAGCCTGACCAACAAGGTCAGTTCCACAGACACACCCACCCCACACCAGTCTGCCAAAAGACCCGTCGTTAGGACACCTGGGGGGCTCAGAGGTTGAGTGTCAGCCTTCAGCTCAGGGTGTGATCCCGGGGTCCTGGGACTGAGTCCCGCACTGAGCTCCTTGTGGGGAGCCTGCTTTTCCCTCTGCCTATGTCTTCACCTCTCACTCTCTGTGTCTCTCATGAATAAATAAATCTTAAGAAAAACAAAAAAAGACCCATGGTTGACCTAGCCCAGGAGACTCAGACCTTGACCCAGCCCCATGAAGAGGGGACCTAGGCCTCCAACCCAAAGGCCTCACCAGTCCTACCATTCCCCTAACCGTCATAACCCCCTTTATGGCAGGACCTCTACCTTGTGGTGGGAGAGGGGCTTCTGGAAGCTTCCTGGCCCTATCCACCCTCTACCTTCTCCTTCTTCTCTCCTTTTACAGCTGGCGGATTTTGGCCTGTCCACATTTCAGAGAGGCTCAAGGTCAGGAGCTGGATCTGGGAAGTCAGCCCCAGCCTACCTGGCCCCAGAACTGTTGCCTGATGTAAACCGAAAGGCATCCATGGCCAGTGATGTCTACAGGTAAGGTACTCACTCCAAACACACATTCCAAATCTCTACACATCTCTGGGCTTCTAGGGAACTGCATATGGGAAAGGAGACTTTGCCAGCAGGTGGGCCAGGCCTCAGTTTTGTGTCTTCCTGCAGCTTCGGGATCCTAATGTGGGCAGTGCTAGCTGGAAGAGAACCTGAGAGTAAGACTCTGGGCAGACACTGGGATCCTTAACTCCAGATGCCCTCCTCCTGCAAGCCTCCAAGCCCTCTTCTTCTAGCTTACCCTCTCAGACTTTCTCCTCACCTCCCTTGGACTACACTCCTTTCCCGCTTCCACAATGGAACACGTGGTCCTGAATGTTTTCTCTTTGCGTCCCCCACCCCCAACCCAGTAGTGGCCCAGACATCGCCGGTGCGGGAAGCAGTGTATGAGCGGCAGATCCGGCCCCCGTTGACCAAGCTGCCCCTGCCCAGCCCTGAGACTCCTGGCTTGGAAAGACTGAAGGCATTAATGCAGCACTGCTGGAGCCATGAGCCCAAGGACAGGCCCTCCTTCCAAGGTGAACTGGCTGTTAGCTGGCAGCCAGGGTAGGCTTGGATTGGTCGGCAGGGGGCTTCTGCCTGGGAAACTTTGGCTCACCTGCCTGCCACCCACCTTGCCTTGTCTCCAGAATGCCAACCGATCACTGAGGAAGCCCTCAATCTGGTAAATAAGGAGATGGATGCTGCGGTCTCCACAGTGAGTGTCTAGTGCCACCCCCCCAGTCCAGGAGCTGGGCGAGGATGGCACAACATGGTTCCCTTGGCCACTCGCTGACTCCTCACTGACCTCTGTTCAGTGTGCCTTAATCTTTGTCCCCACTGTCCCCATCTCACCTCTCAGTTCCCAGGTAATAGATTATGGACCAAGGTGGGGCACTTGAGTGGCTCGGTGGTTGAGCATCTGCCTTTGGCTCAGGGCATGATCCCGGGGTCCTGGGATCGCATTGGGCTCCCCATAGGGAGCTTGCTTCTCCCTCAGCCTGTGTCTCTGCCTCTCTTTCTCTGCGTGTCTCTTATAAATAAATAAAATCTTAATATAATATTATATATATATATATATATATATATATATATAATGGAACAAGAGACTCCTCCCTTGGGTTTAGGCTGGTTCTCCCACCTCCGTGCCCAGAAATCTCCCCTTGTCCTTGCAGGTCAAGAAGTTCCTGTGTGAAAATAGAGGCAGCCGGATATTGTCTGCCCCCCAGCCAGGCCCAGGAGGGATAGAAACAGAAGGCCCTAGGGGGACCACAGGAAGCCATGATATCACAGCCTCTGAAATGCTAAGCAAACTAAGTCTGAAGGAGTCCCCCAACTCTGTTCCTAAAAAATGGACAAACCTTCCTGAGACGACCAGGGCACAGGGAGACAAGGTTCAGCCTGCCCGGTTAGCAGGGCTACCTTCTGATTCAACAGCCTCATCTCCCCAAACTCCAGAGACTTCACGTTTTGAAAATCAGATGGCCAGCCCCAACTTGGCTCAGACCCCAGGTCCTGGACCTGAAGGGAATCAGGTGAGACACTGGCAGGACTAGAGGATGCGCTAGGACTCCCATGAATCCTGTGTCCCTTGCTAGGGAAACTTGAGACTAAGGGGGTTGCAGCAGGGGAACAGGCCCCAGGAAGGGAAGACTCAGAGAGCTGTGTCGTTCGCAGGGGGCTAGGAGACGTCGCACCAACTGGCCTCCCAGGGCACCAGGGCCTAATCCAATACCAGGTACCTGCTCCCCACTTCTTCCTTTCTCCTACTCAATTCTTCTGTTGGCTTCCTCAAGACTGTATGTAGATCCAGGATACCTTGAGTAGTGGGAGAGAGAAAGGACTAGTGGCCAAATCCCCCAAACTTCTCATTTCATAAATGAAGAAACTGATACCGCCTGGGACTGGATCCTGCTGAGGTGACATAGCAGAGACTAGATGTGCCTTGGGCCTTCAGACTTGTCCCAGAATCAGCTCTGTGAACCCTTAACCTGCTGTTGTTATGTTGGTCCAGAGGGGCTCCTAGAAGGAAAGACCCAAGTGTCAGGGTCTCAGACATTAGTTGCCACTCCTTTTGAGCTTCTACAAACCCAGGTCTGAAGGGGCAGCACAAAGACCAATGCCCAAGGCCCACTTTGACTCAGTCACAGCCGGCCTGGAGACCCCATGCTTGCATTTCCCCAGGGTGGACACAAGGTGCCGCTGCCCCTCCACCCTGTGGCTCCTAATTTTGAATTTCCAATTACTTAACTCTCCCACCACCACCACAATTTCTTTTATAGGTAGCCCTATTACCATATGTGACAGCCGTGCGGTGCAGGTGGGAGACAACAACTATTTGATTATACAAGAAGGAACTGCCTTGTCCACGCAAGGACAGGCACCTTGGGGCATGGGTAGAGGCTGGCAGTGGGCCTCGCACGAGTAGGTTGGAAAGGGGAACCACAAGGAGGACCACAAGAACCAAGAAGCCTGAAGAGAGCTGCAGGGCTGGTAGGAAGAAACATCTAGCTACTTCTTGGACTCGGGGCAATTAGCTGAGACTTTCTTTGGGGGCTGACTTTGTGCACACAGCAGTCAATAAACATAGTGGATTGTTTCTTTGTAAAGTTTGTTTGTTTGTTTATTTATTTATTTATTTGAGAGAGAGAGTGAGAGAGAGAGCACGCAGAAACAGGGGGAGCAGCAGAGGGAGAGAGAGAAGCAGGCTCCAGCTCAGCAGGGAGCCCAGGCCTCTGGGATCATGACCTGAGCCAAGGCAGATATTTAGCTGACTGAGCCACCCAGGCACCCTAAACACAGTGGGTTTTCAACCCAAGTGCTGTATTTGGAAGCATATTTGGAAGCTTAAGGCTTAGGCCAGGGTCCAGGGGTGGAGAGCCTGGTAGGAGACTGGAGAGCTGACACCGAAGGAGGCAGGAGGCAGAGGCCCTGCCGTGTAGCTGAGGCGGAAGCGGAAGCGGGATGCTGAGGACTGGCGGGTGGGCAGTGTGGCACACAAGGTCAGGCCCCAGCTGGCGGCAGGAAGGGATCTGGGAGGCCTGGCTCCTGGGGCAGCTCTAGTCTCTGGGCGGAGCACTTCCTCTAGATCCCGTGAGACCCCACCCTAAACCAAATTGTCCTCTGGGCTATGGAGACTCCGCACTGGGGTCCTGGGGTAAGGGCTCTCCGTGGGCAGTGAAAGACCCCACACACCTCTTGCCCTGCGCAATGCCCCCAGCCTCTTCTTTTCCTCCATTACAAGCACTCAACACCTCCACTCCCTCGCACCTTGCTTCCCGGGTGGAGCCCTTTGACCCTCAGCTGGTGTCTGGAGTGGAGAGCTATGGCACGGCAGAGCTACACAGACGTGCCCCCTCCCATGGGGCTGGACGGCGCCACAGGGACAGTTCAGACTGCACAGCAGCTGCGTCCAGGCTGGAGGGGAGGGGGACGGTGGCAACCCCCTGCACCCCGCGCCAAGTCCTAGTCTCCGATTGGGCCCCCCACATTCTTCCCCACATTCTCATCAGCCTTTGACTCCAGCACCGCTGCATTCTCCCTGTGACCAAGGGTTCCACTCCCATTTTGACACTCGCTCCTCCGCCCAGCCCAGCCCAGCCCAGCCCAGCCCAGCCCCTCGCATCTCCCACAGTCCCATTCCCCTTTCTCAAGGGGACCGGAGGGGGGAGGCGACGGTAGTGTTAGGGGAGACAATGAGGGAGGGAGGAGGCCTGGGGAGTCCGCCGCACGGGAAGGGGCCGGGCAGTCCGGCCGGGGAAGTGGGAGGGGGCCGCGGCGCCCGGAGGGAAGCGCCTGCCGCCCGGGGCTCTCAGCCACTAGCTCCTCGGCGGCCGGGACTCCACCGCCGGCTACCGGCTACCCCGGGCTCCCTCCTCGGGCCTCGCCCAGCAGCCGCGGCAGCCTCGCGGGCCGTGAGTTTGGGCGGGGCCGGGGGTGGGGTGGGAGGGCAGCGACCCGAGGCTCCTTGGCTTCCACCCCAGCCCGGTCCCCCCCGGAGATGAGGCTCTCGCTAGGACACCTCTGCAGGCTGCGTCCGAGGGAGGAGGAGGAGCGAAGGGCTGGGCGGGCGGGCAGCCCTCTCCCCGCCGGCTGGGAAAGGGCTGGGAGGCCCCAGGGAGTGCGGGGCAGATGGGCTTGCGCGCGGCTGGGGAGGCAGCGCGGCGTGGCTTGACCCCGGCGAGCCCCGAGCGGCCCCGGCACTAACGCGGGCCCCGGCGCTCCCCAGCCCGAGTTCGCCCTCCGCCGGCGCCGGCGCCGCGGCCCGGGCAGGGCCGACCATGGCCCGCCTCTTCAGGCCCCGGCCGCCCCCCAGCGAAGACCTCTTCTTCGAGACCTACTACAGCCTGAGCCAGCAGTACCCGCTGCTGCTGCTGCTGCTGGGCATCGTGCTCTGCGCGCTCCTGGCCATGCTGGCTGTCGCCTCCGCCAGCGGCAGGGTGAGGGGGCAGCCTCTGGTGGCGCGGGACCCCTGGGGGTGGCGGGTGGGCACTGCCGAGAGGGCGTTTCGGGGTGAGGATTTGGGAGGAGCTCTTTGCTGGAACCCAGGAAGGAAGCGCCGAGCCTTGCTAGGGAACGTAGTGATCCTGGACAAGTCCCTGCACCTCCCTGGGCCACAGTCGCTGGGCCGCTGGGCCGCTGGGCCGCTGGGCAAAAGCCGAGCTCTGGCTGCTTCTGATCCCTCTCAGGGTACTGACAGACTTTCCGTGACCTCCTCCTTCCAGAGTGAATTCAGCAGCGGGTTTTCCCATTTTCCAGAAGGGAAATTACACTGGGCCCCGGGGGAATCCGTTTCCTGGTTTTCTTTCTCTCACGGGGGCTGTGGGGCAGCCGAGCCCATAGACTCCCAGGAGACGCCCTCCACTCCACTCACATTGAGTCCCAAAATAAAGCTATTTCCAGGTTCTTTTTTTAGGAGAAAGGGGGTCTTCAATTCCGTTTCTGGAAATATCCCGCTCCCAAGTTTTTTCACGATTCGGAGGCAAGTTGGGAAAGCCGCTAAACTGACCAGTTCTTGCCGGGCCACCTCGAAGTCCAGGAAGAGGTGGGGACGCAGGGCAGGGACAGCAGCAGGAGGTCGTCGCCCAGAGGGCCAGAGTGTGGTGCTCCTCCCTGGCCTGCCAAGGAGAGGGGTTCCAGGTGCCCTCGGCCACTGGGGCACTTCTTGGAGGGTGGGGGGTAGGGGCTATTCCCAACCTTGTGCCCAGAGCAGGGAATCTCCTGAGCAAATCGGCCAGGTTCAGATACCCTCATTCCTAAGTGCCTTCTGTGAGGTAGGATTTTTCACTTGCTTCAGGACCCCAGGAAGGTGCTTGAATTCCTATTTGACAGACAAGAAAGCAAGCTCAGAAAGGTCCCGGATTCACAAATACGCAATATGGGTTCTAGCCAGAGGCTCTGGTTAGGTGGCGCAAGGCTCAAGCCCTGCTGCCACACACCGGTGAGATATAGGTTGAACCGTACGAGATAGCTCTGCAGATTCTAAACAGATTATTGGCAACATCCTATGGTTCAACCGAACCTGAATGACCAGCCCAGGTGCCCTGTCTCCTTTTCCTACTTGAGTTTGAGACACTTTTCAGAAGTGTCCCAGGGGGCTGCCTTTCTTCATCTTGGAGGAGCTCCCCAACTCTGCGCTCCAGTCTTGCCGCAAGCCGCCCCTCCCCACAGGATCTAGCCTCAGACCCAGGCTTCCTGATCACTGTGCTGTGTGCGCTCGGCGGCTTCTCACTGCTGCTGGGCCTGGCATCCTGCGAGCAACGGCTACAGCGCTGGACCCGTCCCCTGTCCGGCCTCGTGTGGGCAGCGCTCCTGGGGCTGGGCCATGGCTTCCTCTTCACTGGGGGCCTGGTGAGCGCCTGGGACCAGGTGAGAGGAGCGAGCGGCAGGTGGAGCAGGGGGCAGGAGGACTCCCAGGCCAAGAGCAGCTGGCAGCTTCCCATGCCCCTCTCCCTCAGGTGTCCTTTTTCCTCTTTGTCATCTTCACCGTGTACGCCATGTTGCCCTTGGGTATGCGGGATGCCACCGCCGCGGGCCTTGCCTCATCACTCTCCCACCTGGTGGTCCTTGGGCTGTACCTTGGGCCTCAGCCGGACTCCCAGCCCGCGCTGCTGCCGCAGGTGAGAACGCGCTGCGCACTGCACCATTGGTTCCTGTGAGCATGCACCAGCCGCTCACTGAGCTGTGACTCCACTGAAGGGCGCAATGCTAAGCACAGGTACTGACACATACGCCCAGACGGTGCCCTCATGGAGCGGGTACACCAGTGCAGCACAATGCTGCAGACACCAGAAGACGCCTGGGCCCACGGGGAAGGGACTTCACCAGGGAGCCAGAGTTGTGGGGACAGAGGTGGATGATGGAAACTTCACTGGGAATATAAAATTGGAGCTTGAGTAGTTTTGTGCTGCAGCTGACGCAGAGGGAAGGTAGATGGTGGAGTGGTATTCCAGGCAGAGGAAACGTATGTGCAAGGGTTTCTAGACCTAAGAGGCCTTGTTGGTGCACAACCAAGTCTAGAGCAGGGGTACTGCAGGGGAGGAGAAGCCCCCCCTACAGACTCCCCAGTGTGGCGCCAATTGCCTGGAAATTCTTAGATCTCTAACTGTAGAGTCCTCCTCAACCCTCTTGGGGACCAACTCCAGCTATACACTTGAGGACTCCCACCCCCCCAGAGCGCCCTCCGAGGCTGACCCTCTCCCACAGCTGGCAGCAAACGCGGTGTTGTTCTTGTGTGGGAATGTGGCCGGAGCGTACCACAAGGCGCTGATGGAGCGTGCGCTGCGCGCCACATTCCGGGAGGCACTTCGATCGCTGCATTCGCGCCGGCGGCTGGACACGGAGAAGAAGCACCAGGTCCTCGGGGCCGGGGGCTGGGCAGGACCGGGGTTTGAGAAAGGAGTTGTTTATATCACCCAGCTGGGCTCCTTAGCAAGCCAAATGACTTTGGGCAGGTTACCTGCCCTTCTCTTTCCTCCTTTGTAAAACGTGGCTACTGTGCACCTTGGAAAGTTACGTTACGTCTCAAAAAACCTGAAGCTTGTAAAAGCACTTTTTTGATACGAAACGAAGAACTCTAACTCTGGCATTGGTGCTGGGAGTTAAGTCCCTAAATGTGAATGGTGCAGGATGGGGTGCTGAGGCCCAGCTTTATGTGAAGGGGGAGATCTGGGGGGGAGTCCTCTGGGAAGCATCTAGTGGGGCTGGAGAAGTGGGTAAGCTCCTAAGTCGTTGGAGGGCTGGGACTCCTGGCTTTAGGTTGCAAGAGGATTGATGTTCATGGTGATCTTCTCCAGGAACACCTTCTCTTGTCCATCCTTCCTGCCTACTTGGCTCGAGAGATGAAGGCAGAGATCATGGCCCGGCTTCAGGCTGGACAGGGGTCACGGCCAGAGAGCACCAACAACTTCCATAGCCTCTATGTCAAGAGACACCAAGGAGTTAGGTATGAGAAAGGATGGCCAGAGGGGAGGAGGGGCGTGGGCTGAGACCTTGACCCCAGTGATGCAATCTGCCCTCCCCAGCGTGCTCTATGCTGACATCGTGGGCTTCACACGGCTGGCCAGTGAGTGCTCCCCTAAGGAGTTGGTGCTCATGCTCAACGAGCTCTTTGGCAAGTTCGACCAGATTGCCAAGGTCAGAGGGGGCCTTCCTCCCTACCCAGGGCCCTTCAAATGCCCCACCCTGGAGAGCCCCTTCCAAGGGAAACTCCTGACACCTAAGATCCCAGTCCCATTTCAGAGCCCATGTATCCCAATGGAAGATATTCCAATGGAAGTAGGAAACCCTCTCAGACAACCCCAGGTATGGAGCTGTTCACCACACATCTCAAACCTGGAGAGACTTCTCAACATCTCCACAGATGCCCTAACCACAACACCCCCAAATATGCTCAGAACCCCCAGTGTAGGGGCCTGTGGACACTATACCGAATCTAGAGAGATTTTCATATGTTCTAATCTTAGGGAGCCCTTCCAAGGGAAATCTCTGCCCTGTACAACCTCAGCCCAGCTCAGCCCAGCCACCTGTTCAGACCCCAGGGATGCCCCCAACAAACCTAATTTTGGGTGTCCCCCAGAAAACCTCAGTCTCGAGGGTACTTTCATGTGCTCAAATCTGAATACACCTTACACATGCCAAAGCTGGGGGAGACCCACAGACCTCAGCCAGCCCCATATCAAGTTAAGGGAATCCCTAGATCTGACCGAGTTTCCCAACTGCAATATTCTTCAGGAATATCACATTTGCTCCCACTTTTCCCAGCTGCCCTGTGCCTCATCTGACCTCTAACCAGGTGCCCCCCCCTCCCCCTGCATACACGCACACTCCCAGGAGCATGAATGCATGCGGATCAAGATCCTGGGAGACTGTTACTACTGTGTCTCTGGGCTACCGCTCTCCCTGCCAGACCACGCCATCAACTGCGTGCGCATGGGGCTGGACATGTGCCGGGCCATCAGGTCAGCTCAGGTGGGTGGGCAGGAGGGGTACCAAGGGCTGGATGTGGGCGAGCAGCAGGCAGGGTAGTGGAAGTCCTCTTGGAGAGAGGGAAGGGTGTGGCATGCATAGGGCCAAAGGCAGCTTTCAGACTGTGCCCTATGTACTCAGGAAACTCCGGGCAGCCACCGGCGTGGACATCAACATGCGTGTGGGGGTGCATTCAGGCAGTGTGCTCTGCGGAGTCATCGGGCTGCAGAAGTGGCAGTATGATGTCTGGTCCCATGATGTCACCTTGGCCAACCACATGGAGGCGGGTGGCGTGCCAGGGTGAGAGGTGGGGCTGCAGGAGCGCACAGGAAGAAACCAAACGGGCTCCTCACATGCTGCCACCCAATTCATAATTCCCTAAAATGAGCACAATCCCACGTGGAACTCAAGGGAGATCCTAGCATGCCGGGAGGGGTGCTGGGAGACATATCCTGTAGCACAGGGCCTTGCTTAAAGTCAGACCTCTGGAAGGATCCTTGAAAAAAACTGAGAGGTTTGCAGGCCCTCCTTCCTGATTCCCCCTCCCCGCTCTTTCCAGAAGAGTACATATTACAGGAGCTACCCTGGCCCTGCTGGCAGGGGCTTATGCTGTGGAGGATGCAGCCATGGAACACCGAGACCCATACCTTCGGGAGCTAGGGGAGCCTACCTACCTAGTCATCGATCCCCGGGTAAAAGCCTAGTCCCAGGGGCTGGCCCATCCTAACCACCCACAACCAACAGGCCTGATCTTCTCTCCTGTGCCAGAGATTGAATTCCTGGATCCCAGTGTGTGTGTTGAGGGGGAGGAGACCCCATCTTCTAGGGAGTGTTGGGAAAATGTAGAAAATGTTTGTGATCCTGACTCTCTGTCCTCATATGCCCCAGGCTGAGGAAGAGGATGAGAAGGGCACTGCAGGAGGGTTGCTATCCTCTCTCGAGGGCCCCAAAATGCGTCCCTCAGTGCTGATGACCCGCTACCTGGAGTCCTGGGGTGCAGCCAAGCCTTTTGCCCACCTGAGCCACCTAGAGAGCCCCGTGTCCACCTCCACCCCTCTCCCGGTAAGTGCACCTCTGGCATGAGCCCTAGCACTTACTGACTCCACCCCCACTGCCCTCCCAACTTCCCTACACCCACCACCAGTGAGTCATTTGATGACATCTCAAGATCCTGAACTGTCTGGTTGCTCCAGTCACTGGCTCAGACCTTTCCTTGCCCTTCTTTCCAGAAAAAGAGCAAAGATGACTGTCTTCTGAGCTCACTTGAGTTGCAAAATCCTGTAGCACTATGTCCATTGTTCCCCAACGTCCACTCTGGAATCCTCTTCCATCAGTACCACAAAGACCTAGACGACACTTCTGGCTCCAAAGCCAGTGCTCACAACCATTCCCACCAGAAAACATCTCTATCAAATTCCATTCCTGAGACTGCACACTCTCTTTTTTTTTTTTTTTTTTTTTTTTAAAGATTTTATTTATTTATTCATGATAGTCACAGAGAGAGAGAGAGAGGCAGAGACACAGGCAGAGGGAGAAGCAGGCTCCATGCAGGGAGCCCGACGTGGGATTCGATCCCGGGTCTCCAGGATCGTGCCCCGGGCCAAAGGCAGGCACCAAACCGCTGCGCCACCCAGGGATCCCTGCACACTCTCTTTTAATCCCCACTAGGATTGGGAAGGTGGTGCAAATCAGTTATTGCCCCTCCTCTCCAGCATTTGTGTCAGGATAAGATGAGATGACAGTGAAAATCTCCCATGGTCTTGAAGGAAGTCACCCTGAGCAGTCAGGAGATGGGGAGAGAGGGAAGAGAGGAAACCAGCCTTCATCCCCCACAACAGCTGGTTCTAAGGGTTGTTGCTTGGTCACAGGCAGTCAGAACCCTCTCTTGCAGGAACTGAGGCCATGATCCAAAAGGCTTGCCCCAGGATTAAGTTTCTCAGCCTGCTTTCCTCCATTTTATCTGATCTTCCAGCCACCTTTCTGCAGATCATCCTCTCAGAATCTTCTCTACTGGGTCAACCCAGTTGGATATATGGGATGACTTCAGAGTACCCTTTCTATGATCCATCTCCCCTCCCCACCCACCTAGCAGGAAAGCAGGCCAGAGATTAGTAGACACTATGGAATGGGGGGGATGTCGCAGCAGTGATTCAGGAGAATACCTAATTCAGAGTCTTAACATGGGGTAGAAGAAAGGTCAGAAGGGCTGAGTGAGCAGGAGAGAGAGAAAGAAAGAATCTAAGACCCTGCTGGCTATTGCAGGATTCCCCCACCCCCACCCCCACCCCAGGTGGAGGTAGAGTAGAGGGTGGGCTTTGGTGGGAGCCTGGGGACTGTGAGACAGTGCTGGGTGCAATGCCCATAGCGAGATGCCCCCCAGAAGCCACACCAGACTCCCCCAAGACCCCACTAGTGTGCAGACTAAGAAATGTCAGAATGGAGAAGTAGGAACCCCTAGTTCAAGGGTATCTCCAGAGACAGGACCTCATCAGCCCAGAATTCACTCCTCAGCCCCTGAAGTGCCAAGCCCTCCATCAAATGTTAGAAATCCTGAGAATCACATTAGCTTACCCTTAAACAATGGGGAACTCGGGTGGCAGGGCAGTGTTGGTGCTAGTATACACCATCCATCCATCCCTCCTGCAATTTTAAAGAACCTACTATGTGGCAGGGGCTGGGCTAGTTCTTGAGAAGACAGAAATGAATAAAACGTTTTCCCTGCCTTTGAATAACATACAGGCATCGAGCAAGATGGAGAGGCAGGCAGGTAGTTTGAAAAAAGTTAGGCTCAGACCTAGAGGCATAAATGGGCTCATACCTAGATCATCCCTCTTAATCTCCCTTTTCCTCCCCTCTCCTTCTCCTATATTCTAGGTTTGGGCTTGGGGGCCCCTGTGACCCTGTGGCCTTCATATAAGCCAGAGGAGCAGGAAAGAACAGTCACCAGACCCCTGGTCCTGGGCAGTGGCCACTGCTCTTCATTCTTTTTCTTGGGACTTGTCTCATCTGCTTTACTTGTCCTCTCGCTTTCATATCTTTGCCCACAGTGCACCTTCCTTTTGGTGCTGAAAAGAATGGCTGTGACCAGGTTTGTTTCTCTTCCTTCCTCTTTCCCTTTCTTCTCCTTTTTTTGTTTTCTGCTTCCACCACCTCTCAGCTCAGCCTGACCACAAGGGAGTCAGAATGTTCTGCTGCTTCACTTCAAACCAATGAGGATTTTTTGGCATGCTGGGGTGATGGGCAAATCCCTGCCTTTGGGATTTGTTCAGTCCTTAGGGAAGATGACCACTCCTCAAGCCTACAGGGTTGTCTCATAAGTGGTAGGAACCAAGGATATAAGAGCATAAGGACCCTGGGTGTCAGGAAGAAACTTTAAGGAATAAATGTGGTTTGACCCTTCCCTTAAGGGCAGGTGGGATTTGGTGGAAAGAGGAAGTCATTAGAGGCAGGGGGAACTCACATCAAATGCTCAAGGCCAAGGATGTATATAGACATGGAATGCCTCATGTCAGAGAGGTTTCAAGGATGCTCAGCATCTCCTCATCTCCCCCTTTGCTGTGGTCTCCCCACAGGAGAAGACGCTGGCCTCCTTCAGCCCTCAATGGAGCCTGGACCGGTGAGGAGGCCCCAGCAACTTTGACAGCGAGGCTGTCAGCTGTCGGAGTGACCTGCCTCCATCCTCTCTGGGTGGGGGGCTGCTCCTGCTTCACCCACCTACTGTTGAGAATCTCCTATGGTGACAGGTTGGGCTCTTACTGTGCAGGAGCCGTACCCCCCGGGGACTAGATGATGACCTGGACACTGGGGACGCCAAGTTCTTCCAGGTCATCGAACAGCTCAACTCTCAGAAGTATGGAGAACAAAAGGCAGCCGGGAGGGGCGGGAGGGCTGGGCCCTTGCAGTAAGGTAGAGGAGAGATGTGTTTCCTGATGTCCTGGTGGGAAGGGAAGGACTTCCCTGCTCCCCCCAGGAAAACACACATCTGTCCATCCTCCCCCCCCTCACCGTCTCCACCCTGCCCTGCTCTGCCCTTCCCTTTCCTCGCCCGCCCCCTACCTCCTACCAGACAGTGGAAGCAGTCAAAGGACTTCAACCCACTGACACTGTACTTCAGAGAGAAGGAGCTGGAGAAAGAGGTGGGTGTGGGGGGTAGCAGCGGAAAATCCTCTAACCTTAGGTCCTTGGCCTTGGGGCGGGGGCAAGCCCTGTGGACGCACCTCATCTCCCAGGTCTGCCGAGTTTGTGATCCTGGGGGTGAGGGGCTTGTGTTTCTCTCCAAATGGACATCACCCTGTAAATTGAATTACTAGTTGGAGATGGGAGGGAGGAGGGCAGCTCCTTGGAGAACCTGGAGGGGCTACCAGAGACTGCACTGGAGGGTGGGGCCATGAGGCCCGGACATGCACTTCTTGCCTCAAATTGGCACCTCCAAGGTGATGGGCAGCCTTGGTGGGCCCTGTCTCCATACTGACCCCTGCCCTTCCAGTATCGACTCTCTGCACTCCCTGCCTTCAAATACTATGCAGCCTGCACCTTCCTGGTTTTCATCTCCAATTTTGTCATCCAGATGCTGGTGACCAACAGGTGAGAGAGTGCCCCAGGCAAGGGGGGCCCTGACTCACACACATACCACCAGGCTCCTCCTGGTCCTTGACCCACACTTTCTTCCTTTACCCACTTCCCCTTGGCTTCAGGCACTGACTGACCCACAGAGGAAGCGTGTGTTCTGGGGAAGCAGTGATAATCACAGCCTTCATTTTATGATCATACATCCTGTGGACTTTCTGCATAATCTAAGCACTTTCACATGCCTGTCTCTGGGTCCTAACAGCTTTTCCATAAAACAGGTTCTGTTTCCATTGAGAAGCTCAAATCTCACAGTAAATGAACTTAGAAAGCAGGTCCTCATTTTTAGTTCATGGCTAGGAGGGGCTGCAAGGAGTTGTCCAAAACTCAGCTAGGTGGAAAGCCTTTGGCCTGAAGGCTCAGAGATTGACCTGATGCAGCCTCAGCCCCTTCATGAGCCCCCTGCCCCTTCCAGGACTGTCCCTACCTCATTAGTTCCTGCCACGCCCCACCACTGCCTTCAACCCCCTCAGCTTTCCTGGATCATCAGTGTGTAATGCCTTTGTTCAGCTCAGACCCCAATGGAGGGCCAGTTCAGATCCCCAGGACTGCTTCTCCTCACATATCCCGACCAGGTTGCACAGCACCCTCCTGACACACAGAGCCTTCTCTGACCCTGCAAGTCCTCTCTCTTGTCTCCCTTTAGGCCTCCAGCTCTGGCCATCACCTATAGCATCACCTTCCTCCTCTTCCTCCTCCTCCTCTTCGTCTGCTTCTCAGAACACCTGACGGTGAGGTGGGCTAAGGGGTGGAAGCTTGGTGAGCTGGGCCCTTACCACGACCTGGCCCAAGGGATGGGGGAGTCCCCCAGCCCCATGGCTAAGATTCCTGTGCTCCTTCCACAGAGGTGTGTCTTGAAAGGCCCCAAGATGCTGCACTGGCTGCCCACACTGTCTGGCTTGGTGGCCACCCGGCCTGGACTGCGAATTGCCCTGGGCACTGCCACCATCCTTCTCGTTTTTGTCATGGCTGTTACCAGCCTGGTGAGGGCAGAGGGGCCCCTATTCACCCCCATCAGGGCCCATTGGACCTATCAGAGGTTGAACAGGTACTCCTGGATTTGGGAGAGCAGCTGGACTGAGGCCAGGGGATTCTGGTAATATTGGACAAGTATAAAGAAAAAAAAATCAATCTGCCACCTGCGTAATTGTTTATAACACTTCGGTGGACATCCTATCTTTCCTGTGTAGGCAGATCTTCATTGTGTGCTCACTCACTATGATTTTGTAGCTGAGTTTGGCTAATTTTTCAGAACTTATAATCATTCCTAAAATTCTATCCCCGAAAGACACCTTAGGAATCATCCCCTAGCCAAGTTACAAAAGAGGAAGCTGAGGCCCAGAGAGGTTAAGTGGCTGACGAGATCACACAGTGGATCCATTGGCAGACTAGTGCTCAGGACACCCATTCCTCCGTCCCTGCCCACCCAGCAAGGACCCCAGTCCTGGGGCTCCCTCGCTAGCCAGAAATAGCAGACTCCTCCCCTTTGGAGGAGTCTGGCCCTGACTCATCCCGAGGTCAGCTGAAACCCAGCACAAGCCACCGTTATACCCAAGGTGAGCCGACTGCCCACCTCAGCTCTTCACCTCTTTCTGCAGTTCTTCTTACCAGCAGCATCGAACTGTCCTTTCCGGGCTCCCAATGTGTCCTCCGTGGCTTTCAACCTCTCCTGGGAACTCCCTGGGTCCCTGCCTCTCATCAGCATCCCAGTGAGTGTTCCTCATAGCCCTGAATCTCTTTCTCCAGAGCCTTCTTTGGCTCCTCCCCCTACCTCCTTAGTTGAAGAACATTCCATCACGTGGATTGGGATAGACATAAAACACACTTGATGTGTGTTTGTGTGTATGACACCCCCGTCCCCCGGATAGGACCTGGGCCCTGTGAGGGCAGGGCAGGGAGCCCTGGGATATTCACACCTGTGGCATTTGCCATGCCCCTTGACCGCTCTACCTGGCCCCACAGTACTCTATGCACTGCTGCGTGCTGGGGTTCCTGTCCTGCTCCCTCTTCCTGCACATGAGCTTTGAGCTGAAGTTGCTGCTGCTTCTGCTGTGGCTGGGGGCCTCCTGCTCCCTCTTCCTGCACTCCCATGCCTGGCTGTCCGACTGCCTCATCTCCCACCTCTATCCGGATCCCTTGGACTCCAGGTGCGCACGGCCACTGGACAGGGTGCTTAGGCCCTCTGGGAGCAAAGCAGAGCTGTCCTCACCTCACTGGCCTGAACCAACCACGGGGCAAAGGGGGAGGGTGGCTGAGGGCTACATGGGCCCTGGGGGTAGGGAGGAGGCCATCAGGAAGAGGCAGGGCAAGGGGCAACCCTGATCCGTGGCCTCTGCAGGCCAGGGGTACTGAAGGAGCCCAAACTGATGGGAGCTATCTCCTTCTTCATCTTCTTCTTCACCCTCCTTGTCCTGGCTCGGCAGGTAAGTCACCCAGTTCAGCCTTCTAGGGCTTCCCATATTTGTGACTTGGTCTTTCTCACCCTTTCCCTCAATCTTACATCTCCAGGGTTGAGCCCAAACGGTGTGCCCATTGGAAGCTTCTAAGTGAAACTTCCCGTTCCCTTTCTTTCTCCTTCACTACCCAAGGGAGATGCCCTCAAATCCTCCCTCCCTCGTCCCTCCCACCCTAAGTCCAGGAAAACCACCCACAAGAAAGCATCCACTGCCAATTCTCCCCTAGTTTGAATCTCGTTTCAGGGGAGCCTCCCTGGGGATAGTTGCCCCTTGAGCCTTCTCTCTAGACTGGGGAGTGGTGCAGTTTGGGGCATCATGTGTTTGGGGGGTGAACACTCAGGAGCTGAGGCTCTCCCTGCACTGCGCATCTCCCCTTGGGCCTTTGGCCACCCTGCCAGAATGAGTATTACTGCCGCCTGGACTTCCTGTGGAAGAAGAAGCTGCGGCAGGAGCAGGAGGAGACAGAGACAATGGAGAACCTGACTCGGCTGCTGTTGGAGAACGTGCTCCCTGCTCACGTGGCCCCCCAGTTCATTGGTCAGAACCGGCGCAACGAGGTGACTCCCACCCCAGACTCTGAGCCCCAGATGCCATAGGGACTAGTTTCAGATGAGAGTCTTGGCCCTTGGCCCCACGTCTCTGGACTCCCCAGAGCCCCTGGTGGGTCAAGTGGCTGCCTGTTCCTGTCAGATAGTGCCTCTATTTTCATGAGCTCTTAGGCTTCATCTGGTGAGCACAGAACCTCTGAGTTCTAAGTTCTTACTTAGAAGGAGCATCCTCTCCAACTCATGGCCACTCTGTGCCTTCGAGTGTTGATGGGAGTTGTATGGAGGACACAGTCCACAGTCCATGCAGCTTTCTGGCCCTGCACTATCAGGATGATAGCCACTAGCTATGTGTGGCCATTTACATTAAGATTAATTAAAATAGAACCTTCATTTCCGCAGCCTCACTGGCCACATTTCAAGTGGCTGAGAGCTGCTTATGGCCAGTGACTGCCATATTAGATGTTGCATATATAGAACTTTCCAACACCATGGGAATTTCCATTTGTAGATGTTAATCGCCATCCTCAAATATCGTGCTATAATCAGACCATCAGAGAAGGTCACCCACATATTTGCACCATTTTAGTTGTACCACCACCACTTCACCCTGTCTGCTATAGAAATACTCTTGGCCTCTCTTGAGGAATGTTAAAAGAAACAGGTCAGGGGCTGTTTCACAGCTTCACGCCCTCACCGGTTTCTTTCTTTCTTTCTTTCTTTCTTTCTTTCTTTCTTTCTTTCTTTCTTTCTTTCTTTTTTAAGATTTTATTTATTCATTCATAGACACACACACACAGAGAGAGAGAGAGAGAGAGAGAGAGAGAAGAGAGGCAGAGACACAGGTAAAGGGAGAAGCAGGCTCCAACCAGGGAGCCCAAAGTGGGACTTGATCCCGGGTCTCCAGGATCATGCCCTGGGCTGCAGGTGGTGCTAAATTGCTGCGCCAGTGGGGTGCTAAATTGCTGCCCACCGGTTGCTTTCTGTACTCAAAATTGGCAGTGGTTCTACATCTCCTGGTTTCTTCTCTTATTTACACTGGGACTCTTGTAACTGCTCCTGTTTCTATCTTCACATTGGCTACTAGAAAGCCCAGAGCCAGAATCTAGGACGAACAAGGACTTCATGTCACCCATTTTGTGAACCAACCTCAAATAAGAATCCATCTTTACCAGCTTACCTTTATTTTCTCTTTGTCCCATTTCCCCTATTATTTGATCTTCCAAATAGTAGCCATCTTTGTAAACTGACTTAACACCTTTTAGCAGTAAGATATGATAGAAAGATGATACCCATTGACACCATTTCCATTCTTGAAGAGACTCCTTTCACATTGCTACGAGGTGATCCTGAGTTCAAACCCCTGTCTCTCCTCGAATCATCATGAGACCTAGTCTTTGACTCCCAAGTCACACATCCCTGGGATAACCTGGCCCTACCCCCTCCCTCCTTTCCAATACTTCTTAAATACAGGGGTAAGAGTATGGACACAGGGAGAAGGGCCCATGCAGACAGACCCACAAGGAGAGGAACGTGGCTTGCTCCCTCATCCCAGCGTCTCACCCCCTAGGACCTCTACCACCAGTCCTACGAGTGTGTCTGTGTCCTCTTCGCCTCAGTTCCAGACTTTAAGGAGTTTTACTCTGAATCCAACATCAACCACGAGGGTCTAGAGTGCCTGCGGCTGCTCAATGAGATAATTGCTGATTTTGATGAGGTGACAACTCCAAGGGTCCCCCAGATCCTTCGTTCTGAATGCTAGAATTTCCCACCAGTCCCTCCTGCCCATTTGCTCCCCAGCCAGGAGCCCATCCTCCTCTCCCTCGCCCTGCTGCTCCTTCTCTGATCCTCTAGCTCTCCAGAAACTCTTCCCATGATCCACTCTCCCTCCCACCACAAATCCTGACCCCACAACCTGGTCCTTTCATTTCCAAAGGCCTGGGGCTGGGCTTCTGAGAGGGAGGAGGGAGAGAGCAAGAAAGCCTGGGGACACAGCCTCCTTTCTGTACAGCTGCTCTCAAAGCCCAAGTTTAGTGGAGTGGAGAAGATCAAAACCATTGGCAGCACCTACATGGCAGCTACAGGCTTAAATGCCACCTCTGGACAGGACGCACAGCAGGTACAGCACCCCTTCCTTACCTATCAGCCCATGAGGGGCTCACACTGCTGGGCCCTCACTGACCCATCTTGTGGGGCTGGCTTGTTACTAGGATGATGAGCGAAGCTGCAGCCACCTGGGCACCATGGTGGAGTTTGCAGTGGCCCTTGGATCAAAGCTGGATGTCATCAATAAGCACTCATTTAACAACTTCCGCTTACGTGTGGGTGAGGGCCCTCCCTTGTTGGGGCGGTCTGGGACTTCCTCTTCACCTTCCCAAGCTCTTCCTCCCCTAAGTCCTTTATTAGCTACTCCCCAGCTCACCCCCAACCCCCTCCAGCCTCCTCCCTGGGGATGGAGCATGAAGCTGCTGGGCCAGGAGCTCTGGGGCTCAGCCACTCCTTCCCTGAGCCACACTTCTCCAGGCCCTCTTTTCCTCTAAGAACTGCAGGCCTTTCACCCCAATTCCTGGAGCTTCCCCTTCCCCTGTCCCTCCTCAAATTCTGCCCACCACCCAGGGCCTCTCTTTACCATACCTCTTGTCAGGGTTGAACCATGGACCTGTAGTGGCTGGAGTGATTGGGGCCCAGAAGCCACAGTATGACATCTGGGGCAACACGGTGAATGTGGCCAGCCGCATGGAAAGTACAGGAGTTCTGGGCAAGATCCAAGTGAGGAGGCCACATTGGAGGCATGGGATGGGGGGATCAGATAAGGCCACCCCCACACTCCAGACTCACTTTTTTTTTTTTTAATTTATTTATTCATGAGAGACACACAGAGAGAGGCAGAGACACAGGCAGAGGCAGAAGCAGGCCCCACGCAGAAAGCCGGATGTGGGGACTCAATCCTGGAACTCCAGGATCATGCCCTGTGCCAAAGGCAGAGGCTTAACAGCTGAGCCACCCAGGTATCCCGACTCACACCTTTCAATTGCAGGTGACTGAAGAGACAGCGCAGGTGCTGCAGTCCTTAGGCTATACCTGCTACAGCCGGGGCATCATCAAAGTCAAAGGCAAAGGGCAGCTCTGCACCTACTTCCTGAACACAGATTTGACACGAACTGGCCCTCCCTCGGCCACCCTAGGCTGAGACTCCCAACCACCCTCACTATTCTAAGATCCTCAATAAAAGGACTCGGGGGGCACCTGGGAGGCTCAGTCTGGTAAGTGTCTGACTCTTGATTTCGGCTTAGGTCGTGATCTCAGGGTTGTGAGATGGAGCTCCGCCGCTGTGGGGTCAGCGCTGGGTGTGGAGCCTGCTTAAGATTCTCTCTCTCCCTCTCCCTCTGCACTCCCTTCTCCTCTCTTTAAACAAACAAACAACAACAACAAAAAACCCGACTCTGGTATCACTGAGGCCAATTGATGTCAGAAGCTTCTCTGGTATAGCTGCAGATCACTTCCTGCTTGCCTCTCAGCAGGATGCTTCTTCCCAGGCTAAACTGAGTGTCTGTGTGTATGCAAGTATGACCATGAGTGTGTTAGAAAGGAGTGATTCTTCTTCACAAGCTGAGGACTGCCTCAGCCTCCCTGCCTGATTCCAGTATTTAGTACACTTTGGAAAGATAAAGAATTTTAGCCACATGACTCAAAATAGGATTTGTCCTTTCTGCTTCCCACCCACAAATATTGGGAAGGAGTAACTAGGAAGATGTCATTTGACCTTCATTCAATTCACTCAATAACCACTAAATAAGCACCTGCTCTGTGCTTCCTAACTAAGCAGCATGGGTGAGAGGTCTGGGAAATGACCTGTCGGGTCACTCCCTGTTTCAGCTGCTATCGTCAAACTGACCCACGCTTTCCAGCCAAGACCTGCAGACAGTTTTGAGATTCTCTTGTTCTCATGTCCCTCAGATTCCTGTGGGTGCAGGTGCTTATATTATGTGGGACTGGAAGCTTCCATGGTTCATTCCTACTTGTTCATATTTGAGGGTCTGTGAGTGATATCTTGATACCCTAAGTTTGTTACAGATGTTGCACATGGATTCTTGTTTTTTCTCCAAGAATAGGAGAGATTCAAAAAATATACTGCTGTTACTTCTACTACCATCTTCCTAAAATGCAGTTGGAACAGAGCCAGTCTGAGGCTCTCTAAAACAACAGTCACCCCTCAGAAAGTATGACTTGTCACTCTCACTTCTGGGAATCCTCATTTCCTTAAGAGTGACCACGGTCACAGAAGGCATCAGGCTGTATTTGGGAGCAGGCAGAGTGCTGACATGCAGAATTCCAGGGCCTAAGGTCTGATGACTTTGTTCTCAAGTAAAACCTCCTTGGGAGATGGAGGGAAGGAAGGCAGTGACCTAGAACATTGCCCACTGAAAGGACAAAGATGAGTAGCAGGAAGTTGGAGCCATGGTAACAGTGATATCATCACCAGCTTCAGGGGTAGAGGTCCCCAGCAGTGCCATGTCTTCTCAGAACGTCTGCTGATTCAGGGAGTCTGGAGTGATAAGCCCACGTGGGTGGTCTTCGTTGGTCAGCTTCTTCAGGAGTCTGTAGACCTGTGTTGTTCTAAGTATGATCTGCAGAGCACCTGCCTCAGAATAGGGGAGGAGAGGAGGGTCTGGTTTCTGTATCTTTGTGTCCCTTCCAAAACCAAAAATCTTGGGAGGCCAAAGGATGTGCCTCTCAGCCATTGAGAAGGACCCCCATAAGAGCACCCATTGGCAACTCCCCCTTGCCCATCACACAGGCAGGCACCCCCAACACAGGATTGACCCAGCTTGAGACTTCTGTTTTATGTTTTATTTTATTTTTAAAAAAATATTTTATTTATTTTTTCCTGAGAGAGAGACAGAGGCAAGACCCAAGCAGAGGGAGAAGCAGGCTCCAAGCAGGGACTCAATCCAGGATCACGCCCTGAGCCGAAGGCAGACGCCAAATCGTTGAGCCACCCAGGGATCCCCGTTATTATTATTATTATTTTTTAATCAAGGTTTTATTTATTTACTCATGAGAGACACAGGCAGAGGGAGAAGCAGGCTCCCTGCGGGGAGCCTGGTGTGGGCTCCATCCCAGGACAACCGGGATCACGATCTAAGCCCTGAGCCAAAGGCAGCCGGTCAACCACCGGGCCACCCAGGTACCCTCAGACTCTCGTTTTAATTGCAGAGCTGCTCCGGGCCCTCCCCCGCCCCCGCCTGCCCCCCCCCCCCCCCCCCGCGTCCTCCTCCTCCTCAGGGTACAGAACTAGGTCAGGCCAACGTGGGGGGCGCTCTGCCGCGAGAAGAGCCATTGTCCTTCCCCCACCAGCAGCACCAGCAGCACCTCCCAGGCCTAGTTCAGTTCGCTTCATGGGAGAGGGTTGATGGAGTCTGCGAGGGTCTCGGAGGTGCCCGGCTCGGGAGGGGCGGCGGGGCCCCTCACCGTCTGGGCCAGGGTGCCCCCGCGGCGGGAGCTGGACGCCTCGGAGCCGGTGCCCTCCAACAGCTTGGCGACGAAGCCCACGCCCGCGGAGCGCAGCAGGCCGCCGCCCGCGCACGCGTACAGCACGGGGTTCACGCTGCTGCTCAGGAAGGCCAGCGCGATGAACACGGAGCGGGCCAGGCGCAGCCACACGCCCACTGGCCCCGAGCCCCGGCCGGCCAGCGCCCGGCCCGCCTCGGCCAGGTTCACCACGTGGTAGGGCAGCCAGAAGGCGGCGAAGGCCAGGATGATGAGCGCCACCAGGCGGCCGGTGCGGCGGCTGCGGCGGAAGCGCCGGGCCTGCAGCCTGCGCCTGATGTCCCAGTAGCTGGCCACCACCACCAGGAAGGGCAGCAGGAAGCCGGTGAGGGCCTCGAAGAGCAGGTGGAAAGCCCTGAGGCGTTCGCTGGAGTACTTGGTGAAGCACACCAGGCTCTGGTTGTTTGGTGCCAGCACGGTGCGGTACATGATGACGGGGATGGCCAGCAGAAAGGACATCACCCAGATGCTTGCCAGCACCCACCAGACAACGGACTTGGTGCGAAACTTCTGGGACACAAAAGGGAGGGCCACCGCCAACGAGCGGTCCAGACTCATGGCGGCAATCAGCAGGACGCTGGCGTACATGCTGACGCCACAGACATAGTGAAACAGACGGCAGCCAGCCAGTCCAAAAACCCAGGTGCCTTGGCCCACAGAGTGCAGGAAGAAGGGGGCAGTGAGCAGTACAGCCAAGTCGGCCACAGCCAAGTTCAGCACCAACAAGGCAGTGACAGAGCGCTTCCGCATCTTTACCAGGATGCTCCACACCACAAAGCTGTTGCCTGGAAGCCCCACAGCCAGTGCCACTGACAGTAGGATGATAGTCAACGGAATGATGAACATGACACCTAGTGAGGAGGTGCTGCTCACGATGTGGTGTCCGTGGCCACTGCAAGGACCTGGAGAGGGCGAACACGAGCATGAGGGTTGGGGACCAAGGTTTCCTGAGACCCTGGACACACCTAGCTTGAGTACTCTAGCCCGTCTCCAAGATCAGCAGTGTCAGTTGCCCCTCTGCAACCTCCTGCCTTCATCGCTGCCAACAGACCCATCCTCGGGGGATCTGGCTGAGCAGAAAGACTAATTTTCTAACTGGGCCATGGGGCTCCTTCCTACACACAGACCCCACTGCAAAATACAGAGCAGTAGCAGCAGTAGTATTTCCATAACCTTTCTGCTTCCTTCCCTTCTGAGACCCAGAACAAAATGGGGGAGACGGGCCTTTCTTACCAGTGCTGCACCCCTCAAAAGGCTAGCTTCTCTATCACTTGCCAGGCCCTTAGCCTGCTCAGTCCCATTGACTTCTTCAATCATATACCCACTTTCTCCAGAGATGCCCAGAGCCCACCAGGAATAATAGGGATGGCGAGCAGTTTGTGGATAGGAGACAAGAAGAAATCCTCCCCAGTCCTTTTCCCACTGGTCAGGCTTTCTTTGGAAATTCCTCTGCACCTTCTCTCACCATTGTATCCTGCTCTACCACTACCTCCCCAGCTCCCAGGATACTTACTGACAGGCTTTGCTGGGTAGTGTTTGGAAACTGGTGCCAATCCCAAGGTCAGGGCAGAGTGGCGTAGCCTATTCCCAGATCTGCCCCAGTTCCAGGGTCCCAGCCCCAGATCTGGGTGCTGTCCGCTAAGTCTGCCAGAGAGGAAGTACCGAGAAGCCGAGGAGGGGGAAGATACATCTTCCTGAGGGTGGGGCTGAAACTCCTAGCCCTCCCTTCACTGGGGGGGGGGGATAGTCTTTGTGTTCCAGAAGAGCCTAGCAGGGAGGAAGACTCCTTAGGGGTGGGACCAGATGAGAAGAGCCTAGGAAGGTGTAGTAAGAGGAAAGAGAGGGTGAGGGGAGTGAATAGGCTCGGGTGTGGCCTCAAATGCAGGTCTAGACTGGAGAATTGGAAAGAGTAATAAACTGTGTCATACAGGAGAAGGAGGGAAGGAAGCCAGAGACAGGAAATGGACTCAGATTGGGAGGCCAGAAGGTTGGGTATCTTTATATGTTGTATAAATATTGTAGATTTTTAGATTAACAGGAAGTGTAGGTTAGACGTGTGGCTTAGTTATGGGTTTGGGTTTAGGTAACATCAAGACTTAAAGAGGACAGCACCTTGTCTTTGGCTTGGGTTCAAACCATGAGTGACTTTGGAGAGGGAGGGCTCTCTTCCAGCACTCCCACCTATTCCCTCATTTAAAAGGGTTGCTTCAATTCTAAGAAGCCAAAGTCCAAAGGATCTCCTTAGTTTGATACAGAATGTCAATTTCTTCCTCCTTCCCTGGCCACTTGCCCTGTGCTTGCCCATGTGGCCACTGCCACATGGATTTGAATTTAATATCTGAGCACTGAGCAAAGAGGTCAGCACGATCTCTTTCCTACCTTCCTGTAGTTGGCTGTCCAGTCCCACTGGACAGAGAAAGTAGAGGCTGAGCACAGAGAGAGGAAGTGGGGGCAGTGATGCCCCACACCTGCCCTGCCAGGAGGGGAAACCAGGAATGTGCAAAGGGAAACAGCCCCCCAAAAGGCCACTCTTCTCCTTGCCTGGAGGGAGGGCAGTTTCCCCCTTTAACCTCTCCTGCAGAAGCTAAGATCTGACAAGTTTTTCCTTTGGTCTGCCTGTGAGCCATCCTGCTTCCCTGCCAACTCTCACTTGTCAAGAGAGATGTGGCATAGAAGGATGGTCACTGAGGTCCCTTACCCTTATGCCCACTTTCTCTGCTTCGAGAAAGGCCACCACAGAGTTGACCCAATAGCTATGAGGCAGAGGATGTGATACAAAGAAATGTGCTGAAACCGCAGCAAGAAGGCAGAGTTGAGGAAGGGCTCTCTGACCACAGAAGTTGTGTGAGACAGGGGCTACGGAAGAGAGGAAGTTAGGGAGCCTCTGCCCCGGCACATGAGAACAGGAAAAAGCCCCTGCCGTCAGTGTCTGAGGATGAAAGTTCTGGCTTGCTGCTTCAGTGTCAATCAGAGGCTCCTTCTGATGAAAGCTGTGTTGTCTTGGCCTCCTCTAACAAACTACTCCCCATCCCCATGTCTCTCAATGGCCTTTCTTCCTCCATCTTCAGACTAGATACTCTAATCTAGGTACTAGATCCAGAACTCCAGACCGCCACAGTTTGGGTGGCCCTGGGTGACCCTGAGGCCTGAATTTCCTTTGCTATTTCTAGGCCTCTGCCTGGGTGATATAAACATCACCAGAGTAGAACTTGTGGTGATGGTCTGAGGGAGCACTCAGGTGACCAACCATCTAAGTTTGCCAGGGACTGAGAGGACTGGGACAAGAGAATTTTTGGGGACTAAAACTGGGAAAGTCTTGGGCAAACAGGGATGAGTTGGTCACTCTAGTGACCAAACCTGTGTGTGGTCATCCACTAAAAACAATCCTATCCTACATCCCCAAATGCAAAAGGGCCAGGATCCAGAACAGTCTGGGGAGCTAGAGATGGAGGCATTCCAAAAGACAGCAGCCAAAAAGTATGGAGGGAGCTGAATAACAGCTAGCAGGAGGAGCTATGGAGGAGCAATAACATCTCCTCTTGGGAGGAGTCAAAGACTTGGTGGAGAAAAAAAAGGAGACAAAGGAGAGGTGGCACCTCCCTGAAAAATTCTTCCTGTCCTCCAACCATCCACACCATTCCCCAGACCTGCTCATCTCAGCCCCAAATGTCCCCAGGGTGAGCATGTCCTGCTCCCGAACTCTGGTGAACTTTGGGAAAAGAGTTGGCTTCAGAGAGGAAGACAAATCTGACTCCCAGGGCTCCTCCCCGACAGTACCAACTGCAAGACAGGAAAGCTTTCCTTTCAAACTCCACAGATTGTCTTTCCCCTTCCAGAGCCAGGGTTTTCTTCACTCAGCTCTTTCAGACCCCAAAGAATGGATCCTATCCTCAGTCCTCATTCAAGCATCTATACCTTTCCTTCCTCTTTCTTCCTTTATTTCCAGAGTGGTTCAATAGGTTGGCCTGAGGGAACCAGGCCACCCAGGCTGAGGAGGATAAGTCAAGATGCCACTGAAGGCTGGCAGTGCCCAGCTTTGGACTGACCCAGTGGGGAACCAGGTGGCTTCAGTACAACTCAAGCATGATGGACTACCAGTGGGGGCATGCTTAAGCCATCATGGAATGCCCCCACTCCAGTGTATTTCACAGTAGCTATTGGCAATAAGTAAGCAGCTCTGGTACATGGGCACATGGCAACCCACAAGCACACAATACCATCACCGCTTGCAATCCCTCAGTTTGGAGGAAACTGGGCCTGCCCCAGGTATATAATTCTGCCCAGAAAAATCTAAACTGTGGCCAGAGAAGCATCCCCCAAATGCTGCAGAGTGGTTCCCTGAGTTCTGCACGGAGGGACGATGGAAGGGAATAGGGAAGAGGCAGGCCCGGTTGTAGGGTTTGGAGTCAAGGGTCCCATCTCTGACTGTCCTTCTCCATCCCGTCCCCAGGGTCTCCACCGCCTCGGTGGCCCTGCCCCACCACTTTGAGCCGAGGGGTAGCTCGGAGCTCCATGGTCCCCTCCCTGGAGCGGCCGCCACCTCGGGCATCTCCTGAGCCCTCAAAGAGCCGCGTGAGGAAGCGGGGGCCTGCCCGGGGCAGGAGATCCCTGGCGGTGAAGACATAGAGCACCGGGTTGACGCTGGAGCTGAAGAAGGCCAGAGCGGTGGTTCCAGCTCGTGCAGCCTGGCCTGCGCCGCCCAGCCTCGCCAGGGCCCCTCCCGGCGGAGCCAGCGCAGCCGCCACCTGCAGAACGTTGACCGCGTGGTAGGGGGCCCAGAGCAAGCCAAAGGCCAGCACGATGACGCTCACCAGGCGGCCCACCCGCGACCCCTGCCGCCCAGCGCCCCAGCGGGCACCCCGCAGCCGCGCCAGTGTCAAGCCGTAGCAGCCGAGCACCAGGCCGAAGGGAAGCACAAAGGCAGTCAGGGTCTCCAGGCTCAGATGGGCGGCGGCGTGGGCCGGCGACGGGTGGCACAGCTGGCACACACGGTCTCCCCACAGGTGGCGGTAGACGGCAGCCGGGGCGGCGAGCAGCAGAGCGGCCAGCCAGACGGCCAGCAGCAGGCGGCGGGCCAGGGCAGGACTGCGCAGCTGGGGCGCCAGGAAAGGCCGGGTGACAGCCAGGCAGCGCTGCAGACTGAGCAGGCTGGTGAGCAGGACGCTGGCGTACATGCTGAGTGCGCACACGTAGTACACGGCCTTGCAGCCCACCTGGCCCAGCGGCCACGCCTGCCCCGCCAGGAAGGCCACGAAGAGGGGCGTGAGCAGCAGCACCGCGCCGTCGGCCAGCGCCAGGTGCAGCGCGAGCGTGGCCGCCAGTGGTCGCCCCCGTGCGGGCCGCCAGCCTGCCAAGCTCCACACGACGAAGCCATTGCCTGGCAGCCCCACCAGCGCCGCCAGCAGCAGGAAGGCGGTGCCGGTGACCCGCGAGGCCTTCCAGCTCAGCAGCGTTTCGTTCCCCGGGGGCCGATAGCAGGCCAACATTCTTCTGCACCTACCGAGGGGGACGGAAAGGGCCATGGAAGGCATTCAGGGGTCAGGGTAAAAGCCCACGGTACCCCTTCTGCCAGATGAGAAGGGACTGTGTCTCCTCCTGCTTCTGTCTCTTCTGTCTAGGAGAGAAGACCCTAGCCGCAACGCAAACATGATTTCTTGGAACCCAAATCTCCTGCCCCAGTCCTAACTCCCAGGCTCTCCCTTACCTCCACCTCCACCCATTTAGCTGGGCCCCTCCTCTGGCCAGCCCCCTTCCTATGCCTGAGCTCAAAGTGAGCAGTGGGAAGTAAAGGTCCCTGAGCCAATCTACTTACCCAGCTGGGAGCTAGTAGGCTTGGAGGCCTACAAGGGGCATGGAGAAGCCGAAAGGCACAGCAGCAGCAGCGGGTGAGGTGCCTACTCCTGTCAGGTTTGCAGTGTGAGATGAGAATGAGGAGCGATGAGGTGGAGCTCTCTCTTCTCAGGCCTTTCTTGGGCCCCCTCGGGCATTCTACTCCTTCCCATCACTAACACGTCCAGGCGTGTGAGAGGCCGCCTCCCTGGGAAACAGGAGAAGCTGAAGGGTACAGGTAATGTTCTCTGATCGTGTAGGTGAATGGGGACACGGCCGAATCCTGACTCTGGATCATGCATCTGCACTCATCCCTCATCTACTTCTGGCCCCAGTTACCCCAACCCTGCCGCCGCCTGTTATGCTCTCAGGCTTCCCTGACCTGTACTCAGCAGAGAAGGTGACCCAAACTCAGCTTCCTCAGCTTCCTACCTACACCTCTCATCTCTTACCTTAGGCCCTGCCCCAGTCATCCCCCACCCCCCTCCCCAGGGGCTCTCACTGGGCTGTTAGTGACAGCTTCCAGTCTTGGTGCTGAGTTATGGGGGTGCACGGAGGTACAAGGAGCTTATAACCTCCTTGAGGAATCATAACACACAACCTCGAAGAGACCCTAACACCAGGCCACATCAAGATACAAGATAAGAAGAAAGGAAATGGTACGTTAGTAGAGACATACTGACAAGAAGTCTCCTCTAGGTGAAAAGGTCAGGCAAAGCCTGGAAACGGAGAAATTTGAGGGAGACCAGGTACATTGATAAAGTTGAGGTAAGGGGAAAGACCCCTTCCCAGTCAGCAGCTGGAACTGGGGGCTCTTTGGGAGCGAGGACAGTATTGTCTCAGTTTGGGTTATTTCCAAAGCACAGCCTGAATTAAGGGCGTGGGAACAGGTAATCCTGCAACTGGAAGGTCTGCTCAGGGAGCAGGAGTGAGGGAGCAGGGGAGAAGAGGGGAAAAGAAAGCGAGGAAGAGTATGCTCTTGAGTCTCTTCAGTAGGGATCAGGAAGCTCTCAGAATTACACAGAATGCCTTCCAGAAAGACAGAAGACCGCGGCATTGGTGCCCAGCTTGTATCCCCCATGGTTTGGGGGCTGTCCCAGAGGCATGATACACTTGTCAGGGGGCTGAGTAGGCTGCCACAGCTTCAGACACCTAGGCAGGAAAGCAGATTTACATTCATGTGATGGGTTCAGTCTTAGTGAGAGTCTGGGCTTCCATACAAACGTCCACCAGAACTGTCGCTGAAATCAGAGATGGAACTCAGAGCACCAAAAGTTAGTCTTAATGCCCTCAAAGGACACCTCCCCTCTTCACATTTCCTTCATGCCCATTAAGTGGCCAAAAGAGAAAGATGAGAGAGAAAGTGCCTAATTCAGTGTGGCTACAAAGAGCAGTTCTGGAGAACAAAGCCAGAGAAATGTTGAGCCACCCCCTCCCCTAGATCAAGGAGGAAGAAGCAGGAAAGCGGAAAGCCAGGGTCCCCGACAGGATCCTGGCGATCCTGGATCCATGGAGCACAATCCATCCTCCCCTCACAGCCCACCCTGACACACTTCCTCACTCCTCATTTTGTCCAAGCCCTACCCACCATCCCACCCTCAGCCTGGCCCCTATACTCCCAAAGCTGCAGTTTACAGCTTTCACAGTAGGTGGCAGCAAGTACAGCACACATCACGTACATGCAGCTTCTCAAGGATTGGGAACCAGAAACTATCCCTAGAAATTCTCTCCATAGAAAGACCAGAGATCACATCCCATCCTCTTATATAGTTCCCATTTATCCTCAGCACGCACCGCCACCAGACACACACACACACACAAGCTTCAAGTGACTTTTTTGGGGAACTCTGGGCTTCAATCCCACCTCCAGGATCCCATCCAGGCCCCTCCTTCCTCTTTCCCTCCCCCTTGGACTTTGCCCTTCTTACTGGCCTGGCAGGGGGGGCCAGAGTCCGGGTTGACTCATCCCCCACCTCCCTGGGGCTGAAATCCCAGCTCTGTGACACAAAACACCACCACTATTGCACCGGAGAGAACTACCCAGCCTAGAACGCACCGGGAGAGGCAACTCCCCTGCTCCTTCCCTTCACCATGGAGTACCTCTCAGCCCTGAACCCCAGTGGCCTGCTCAGGTGATTTCTAACCCTCCTTTCTACCCTCCAACTCTGACGATAGTGCATGGTAACAAAATCCATCCAGCCCCTAGGAGACCCAGACACTCATGGACTACTCCCCCTCCCCGCCCTCACTTTCTACAGTGGGCCTCTCCGGCTATGGAATCACCACTCACCACTCCCACTCCATGTTTCTCCCTCTCTCCCTAGGCTTCTCTGATCTCCAAACCTAGATCCCCCCCCTAACTCTCCAAGCACCCTACTTCCAATCACCCCCATCGCACTCACCAAACTCGCTTCTTGACCTTTCTTTCCCAACTACCAGGTCAGTATCCAATATGAGCTCTGAGTTTGGCCGGAAAGTCTGGACTTCACCTCCACCACCCCAGCGACCCTTCCGAGTCTGTGATCACAACCGGACTACCCGGAAAGGTCTGACAGCTGCCACCCGCCAGGAACTGCTGGACAAGGTAAGTGAGCCAGATCCCTAAGTTTCTCTTGTGGGGGCAGCCAGGGGGCAAGAGAAGAGTGAGAACTTGGAGTGAACGGAAAGGCTGAGGTTAGTTACATGGCTGCCCCTCCCTCTGAGGGCAAAAAGAGGGGGGAGGGGGATGGTCAGCCCAATGACCATGCTGTATTTGGGTCAATTCATTTCTCTTCCAGTGGGTAGAGGAAGGAATAGATGGGGGTGGAGGGAGGGAGGTCAGAGGTTTGGCCTTCAGAAATCAGTATGGAAAGGCAATTTGTATGACAAATCAACTTAAAGTCCTGATCCTATGAAGACTTGTTGGTTTGCTGGTATCAACCTGTAGGAAGTTGTTCGTTCTATCAAATCTTGTTTCTTCATGTACAAAACGGAAATAATGATACACCTTCCTCACAGGGTTGTTGAGAGGAGTCAAAGAGGGCCACGTATGTCATGTGCTACATAGATATCTGGCACTAACAAAGACTAAAAAGGTTAAGGATCATTGTTGCAGGAAACCATTCTGGAGGGCTCTCCAAGAGCAGGGGGACAGGGAGCTAGGTCACTGGAGAGAAGACTGAAGGATGGTCCTCAACAGAAGCAAGATCGCTTTTCAATTCCAAGCCAGTAGAGTGGCTCAGAGGGGAATAGGGGGAGAAGACAATAATGTGGACGATGACATAGGAGCAAAGAGGAAAAAAGTCAACCCTTATTGAGGGACCCCCAGCAACTGAACAATACCAAGATCTGGAGCCATCTTAAGGGTTGGCAATTTTCTGGGAAGTGGAGTTGGGGTATCCACCAGCATCTAGAGCCAACCAATGGGTGCGAGGTAGCTGGAGAGAGAGAGAGAGAAGCATGGCTAAACTCCTCGCCTTTCTTCCTGTTTCCTGGGGCTGGGCAGGCAACAGAGGCCCTCCTGCTGAGTGGGATGCTAACATTGGTGCTGGAGGAGGATGGGACCGCTGTGGAGAGTGAGGACTTCTTCCAGCTTTTGGAGGATGACACGTGCCTGATGGTGCTGGAGTGTGGGCAGAGTTGGAGCCCCAGCAGGGTAAGAGGCCCACGGTGGGGTTGCTGTGGGCCACCAGTCCTTTACATCTCTCTCAAGCTTCTCGAGCCCAATCATGATCAGAGGTACCAAGAGAGGCGAAGAGTTGCCAGGGACACCTCATAGGGGACACACAGTCCAGGTGAGGGTGGGTCTGACCCAGTGCTGATGGGGAACAGTGGTGGGTATCCACAAGTCGGAATGCATTGCACCGATGGAGGTTCCCTACAGAGTGGGATGCTGTCATATGTGCCCTACAGAGTGGGATGCTGTCATATGGCCTGGGCCGGGAGAAGCCCAAGCACAGCAAAGACATCGCCCGCATCACCTTCGACATATACAAGCAAAACCCTCGAGACCTCTTTGGCAGCCTCAATGTCAAAGCCACATTCTACGGGCTCTACTCCATGAGTTGTGATTTTCAAGGACTTGGCCCAAAGAAAGTACTCAGGTCAGAGACCAACATGTCATATTTCCCCATCCCCCTACAGTCACAGCCCCCCTAATTCCTGCATTTACCTATCCTATTAGGGCTCCCTTGTGGAAAATCCCCTCTATGGCCTCCTCCCAGGTTCCCCCACCCACCCAACTCCATCTTGTCTCTGCCCTTCAGGGAGCTCCTTCGTTGGACATCTGCACTGCTGCAAGGCTTAGGCCACATGCTGCTGGGAATTTCCTCCAGCCTTCGCCACCTAGTAGAAGGGGCCGAGCAGTGGCATTGGCAGAGGCAGGGTCGCCTCCATCCCTACTGAGAAGGGGCTCTGAGCTGCTCTCTGCCCCTAGACTTGTTCCAAGACACACTGTAAGGACTCTGACAGCATCGGCTTTGGAGATCTGAGGATAGTGCAGATGAGAGAACTCACCCAATTTCCCCATGGTCTTCTGACCCCACTGCAACAGGTCCCATCGGCATAAGGCCTTATACCTCTAGCCTATACCCTTTCCCGAAGAATACTGTCTCTTCCTAGCCATCTTTCCAGCTTCCCCCTTACCCTAAAAGGCCACAAGCCCATCCCCAAGCATCTTGATTCCACTCTGACCATTGCTACATCTAGATTTCTTGCAATTCCTCCTGTCCCTAAGCTTCCCAGTGCACTGTATTCAGCCTTTGACTTCACCTTGAGATCTCAATTTCTTTATATGACAAAAACATTTCCAATAAAAATATAAAAATACTTATTATTAAGACTTTTGACTCCAACTTGAACTACAAAGGGGAAAGGACAGATACGCCCTTTATCCCTCCCCCATCAACACCTAATCCCAGATCCAAAGGCCTCAGTCTTCAAGTATTGAGTTCAAAGCCCGCCTCCGCTTGGCCACTGCCCCTTGCTGCTGTTCCCAAGCCTCTCGGCGCTTCAGGAAAGTAGTCAGTGCCACGTTTCGAGCCACATGGTGGCCAAAAGGGTCTCTTATCAGCTCCTGGTCCCGTTCTCCTGCAAATGGAACCACTCACGTTAAGTATGATCATGCAGTCACCCACCAAGCTCAAAGGGACTCTCTCTGGGTGAAGGTCCCTCTATTTTCCCTGAGCTCTGGGTTGACCTTGGAATAATTAATACCTCATTCTCCAAACCGGGGAAGTGAGAAGGGGTAGGGGCACAGGGCTGCATACTCAGCAGAGGAGAAGGGGAGGGGAACAGACTGCTAAGAACCCATAGCCACACCACCCTTTAGAACTGAAGTCTGCTGAATTTAAGTCCCCTCCCCAGCCACCCAGCCATCTGGAGCGAGTCAAGTTTGGAAAGGTCAGAGAGAAGTGCTGGTACTCACCCAGCTCAGCAGCAATTTCCTTACGGGCCCCCAAGGCTGCTCCACTCCAGATGGCATCTAGTACACGACTGCCATGGCGACTGCAGGCCAGAGCCACATACTGTCCCTGCAGTAAGACAAGCAAGGTAGGTTCCCCTATGGCAGTCCACAAAGGTATGCTGGGGAGGGCAAAGGTGAAATGAAGTTTTAGAAGTTTACAGTCTGAGTCAAAAGAGTCTGGGAACTATATATTCTCTCTTTGACTCTGAAAGACAGTCTTGGGGCAAGCTCATGTTCTTTTAATGGATGTCAGTGGGGGAATCAAAACAGAAACTAGAACCTTTAGGGTCTTCAGCACACGGCGGCGCTGCTTGCGTGTCACGGAGGGACTGGTGAGGATAGCATCAAGCACGTGGGAGCCAGCAGGGCTCTGGGCTAGAGTCAGAAGTTGTGGTCCCGTCAAGGCACCCAGACTTTGCAGTATAATACCAGGACTAGAGAAGTGCAACAGATGCTGGAGCAGCAGAGATCCAAGGACTGTCACTTCCCCCAGGGCCTGGGCCTTGGCCATTTCCACCTGGAAGGACAGACAGAAGGAATCAAGAGGCAGCCACCAAACTGCCACCTCTGCCTAGATGAAGCCAGAGATCTCACCAGCTGCAACACCAGAGTGAAGGACTTTTTAATTCTTGGTTCCCAGTTAGTCACTGGCTTGGCCCCTCCCCTACCTCACCTGGTGCTCTGCGGGCACTGCCCCCTCCTCCTCTAGCAGTCCATAGTACACCTCATAAGCCATCAAAGTGGCAAAGAGAGGCACACAGGCCACTTGCCGGGAAGAGGGCTCTGCACAGTGGAATGCCTACACGGGAAGACAAAACACGATGAATCTGAGAACCAACTCCCTCATCCCTAACCCCGACTCTCTTGACAGGGGAAAGCATTCAGGAGACATGAACATGTAAGTTGTATGAGGGCAGAATCTCACCTGCCTTGCTATATTCCCAGCCTCTATACACATAATAGGGTTGAATAAACATTTAGTCCTTAAACAAACTGCTCTCTTAATTCTGGGAGACAATTTTCATTCCAGGGCTATGAGATGGGTTTGGCTTCATTTCTCTATCTGTGAACTTGGGCATTAGACCTCCTGAGTCCAGAGATACAACCACTGAAGCTCAGAGAAGCCCTAACAGGTAGAATTTGAACTAAGGGCATAAACAGGTTGCAGGTAACATCACCTCCAACAACAGCTGCAGGACCTGGGCTTGGTGGGCCCCAACTCTGCGGCAGGCCCCCACCAGGGCAATGACGACCCCTGAGTGACCTTGAGCCAGCACAGCTTCCAGGGCAGGGCTCAGCTCCTCAAACACAGGGGACAGCTGAGGAGAGACAGAGAATGAAGAATCTTTGGCATTCTGTAACAATGGATTAAGTTATTCAGAGATATCCTCCTCCAAAAAACAAATAAAAATGCTAGATAAGCATTGCTGATATCAGGATTTTGGTTTTGCCACATAAAGTCTAGGACAAGGGGGCAGTCTTAGAGTACTGCCTCACTTGGGGGAAGCACAAGATAAGGGGATACTAGAATTAAATCCATTCTTCTACCCCAACTCCCAATCCATGAGATCACAGGCAAGTGTCCCTTTGTGCTAAGCAGTAAAGGAAAAAAACTATGGCAATAGGTCCAGCACTCATACAGATTTGTAGCCAAGTACCCAGAGTCTGAATGGGCCATAGAACCTCAAGTTGCAAATCTGGATTAAGCCAGTCTCCTGCTGGTACTGGCATCTGAGAAGCCAACACAAATCCTTTCTGGGAAGAAGGCACTTTTGTCCTAAACTCTGAGAAGCCCCCAGGAATAACCTTTCAAGGGGAATGGCCAGCACACCACCAGAGACACCGGGGCAGGCACACAATAAAATAAAGCCCAATGAACAAAGAGTAGCACAAACAACGGAACACATGAACAGATCCAGCCCCATTCCCAACTCACCAGCTCACGGGTAGTAATAGCATCCAGTAAACGCTGCAAAGGAAAGTTGGCAATAGGGTGTGCAGCTAGGGCCTGCAGCTGCCCTTGGAAGTGATCCTCAAAGAGGCTCTGGAGCCTCAGGGGCTCCAACACCAGCAGAACCTGCTCCAGGAGTCTGGAGCTCGTCTGATCCCGCAGAAATAGCAGTAGGGGGCTAGGGACAAGGAGAAGGTCACCAGGCAGCCTTTACTGTACATCATCTAAGACACCCACACCACTCCATTCACTTCACACAGCCTTATCAACCTCGGAGGATCCTGAGGTCCTGAACATACCTGCCGTCTGCTGAGGAGTTGCGGCTACTCAGATAACTGATCACAGCACTGCAGAGATGAGCACAAAACTGGGGCAGTTTGCGGTGTAAGACTTGCAAGGCCACTTGAAGGCAGAAGCTGGAGATCTTGTCAGTGATAAATACTGTGGAAGAGGGCAGAAATAATAAAAGCATTTCTTCCAAAATCCAGACAAACTTCAAACCTCAAGCAATAAGGTACCAGGGGCTATAGACCTAAAGGCTCTAATCAGAGTCTTCGAAATATCAAACCAGATCAGATTTGAAGAGGAAGAAGACTGATCTAAGCAAGGGCTTTGCATGATGACAATCACCTCCAGAAAAACAGGTCCTAGACCAATCTTACCAGCAATGTCCTTCAGAAAACAAGAGCTCAGGTCCTGAAGGTGATTCAAGAAGGTTTTAGGGACCTCAAAATCAGTTGGCTTACACTCCCGAGCTGGGGCCCTTTGTGTGTCTGAAAGATCAAAAACATGTGCAGTGCTGGGATCACAGACTACCATCCAGGAGGGAAAATAATTCCAGAGATGATGAAGGGTTCAGCTCGGAGATGCAGAACACGTATGAATTATATCTTCACATCTGGAAGACTGAATGGAGTTTTAATTTTTCGAAGGAATTTCCACCAGCTCCCCAGTGGTCCATAGGAGATAGGCCAACTCTCAGTCAGGAATTTAAGGTGTTCCAAAATCTGGCCTCATCTAAACTCTCTAACCTTATTTCCCGAAGTTTTTCAAAATGTAGGTCACTGCCTATGAGTACATCATGAAATCACTTTAGTGAATCTTGACTAGCACTTTTTCAATGGAATAGAACAGAATAAAAAAAAAAAAAAAAAAAAACCAGAGAGGAAAACGTTGAAGTGGACTGCATATATTAAGAGTATTGTTTCTCAGGACGCCTGGGTGGCTCAGCGGTTGAGCGTTTGCGTTGGGCCCAGGGCGTGATCCTGGGGTTTTGGGATTGAGTCCCGCATCAGGTTCCTTGCATGGAACCTGCTTCTCCCTCTGCCTATGTCTCTGCCTCTCTCTGTGTCTTTCATGAAGAAATAAATTAAAATCTTAAAAAAGAGTATTGTTTCTTGAAGTTCTGTTTGCGTCCAGTATAGGCAAGTTCAGTGATGTTTAAAAAAAGAAATTCTGTAAGTTGTGGTCTAACAAAAAAAGCCTGACATCCACTGCTCAAACGAATCACCTCTCACCCCTGGCTCATTCTACTAGCTGTCCCCCCAAACACACTAACACACTGGGCCTCTGTGCGCACTAATCTTTGCTTTGTTAAGCCTCATCCTCATTTCTCTGCTAATTCTTCAGTCATGAAGAATTACTCTTCTGCTTACTCCCTTCTTCTGGACTTCCTAAGCTCTCTTCTCCTCTAGGTCCACTTCCCTCCCTCATATACTTACCAGGTGACTGAGAGCCACGGTGTCTGGCTCTCTCAGACTCCAGAAGAGTCCCTCCCAACACCTGCAGCAGAGTTCTGACCACGAAGCTGCCATGTGTGTCTCCACAGTAGAAAAGAAAATCGTCACACACCTCAGAGGCTAGTCCCAAAACCAGCTCCTCCAGGGTCTCCAAGGGTCCATCCTTGCCATCCTCCTCCTCCACATCCTCCTCCTCTTCCTTCTCTGCCAGGCTCCCCAGCAACCGAGGCAGCTGCAGCAAAGCACTTTGCAATACATGCACCCCACATCGATGGCAGGCCACCAGGCGTAAGCTGGAGCGCAAAGCGGCCCAGATTCGACACAGAGATTTCAGGGGACTGAATCCCAACAGTTCCTGCATAATCTCACTGCCAGTCCTGTTTGTGGCCAAGGCCAGGGCCTGAGCCTCCACTTCCTTCAAAACATTGTGCACCATCAGTTCTGGGTAGACAAGAAAAGAAATATTTTAAAGACTGAGAGGAGGATTAGGTTATGTTCCATTAGAGGCCCCTGGGTGGCTCAGGTCATGGTCTCAGGATCCTGGGATGAGCCCTGCGTGGGGCTCCCTCGTCTGGAGAGCCTGCTTCTCCCTTTCCCTCTGCCCCTGCCCCACTAGTGCTGTCTCTCTTGCTCGCTAACAAATAAACAAAATCCTTAAAAAAAAAAAAAAAAAAAAAAAAAGGTTACGTTTCATCAGTTAGCCGAGGGAGGGAGAAGCGGGGAGCGATGAAGAGGACGTGGGAGATGAGACTCAGTCCCTATGCCCTGGGGACCCGAGAAAATTTCCCTGCCTGTCCTGGAACTTCTGCCTAAAGAATCCCTCAGTCCCACCCGGCAGTCGCTCCCCACCTCGTTCTTCTCCGGGCTCGGGAGCCTCCTTCAGGGCGGACAGCGCCCGGCGGAAATACCCCAGAGCTTCGGGGCTCAGGTGAGGGTGCGCACCGAGGGCCGGCTCCGAGCTCCCCTCGGCGGGAGGGCAGTGTGGCCGCCGGCGGCCTGGCGGGGGGCGCCGCGACCCCTTGGCCCCGCGCCCTCGTTTGCCACCTGCTGGGAACCCGCGCCCCGCCTTGCGGGGGGAGCGCGGACCCAGCCCCATGAGTACTAAAGCCCCTCGTCTGTCCGCGAAGTCCTTCCCAGGCCGCAGGGATCCTCAGACAGCCAGGAGCGCGCGAGACCCGACGCCGTCTGGAAACGGCGGCGCGCTGGGGCGCAGCGTACACGTCACAGCCCCGCGACGGCCCCGCGACGGCCCCGCGCCGGCCCCGCGCCGGGAGGCCGCGCCCCCGCTCCTGGGTCGCCCGCCTCCGGTCGCCGCCCCCTGTGCCCGCTGAGCACCGTCCCGGACCGAGCCTCTCCTCCACGTCCCCGGCTCATCCTGGGCCGCCCTCTGGCCCAGTCGCGTCACCGCGTCCCGCCCCCGGAGCTGGAATCGAAGTTCTCGAGCCCAGAGACTTTCCGGGCTTGACGGCGCCGGGAGAGTGCACGGGCGTCAGGTAAGGGGCGCGAGCTCCCTCTCCTTTGGACTCGGGGTCCCTGGGGCCTCAGGCTCGCCCCCGGCCCGGAAGCCGCGCCCTCGGGCTCGGCCTGCCAGGCCAGGCCAGAGGCCAGAGGCCAGAGCTCTAGACAGCCGGCAGCTTGCGTGGAGCTGCCGTGAGGGGCCGCCGTGCCAGCATCCCGCACCCTCTTAGGGTCCCAGTATGTATCTAACCGGGGACAGGCCCACCCAGCCCCTGGGGTCATAGCCCTAGTCCCAGGACGGTCCCTTCGCGGGAAGGCAGTGGCCAACTCCTTGGCCTCCCAGAAGGGACCAACAGCCTTACCCTGGGGCCTGCACTGTTGTCCCGTTCTGAAACTTCTCTCTGCTCTTAGGAGTCCAACCTTGGCTCCCCCCTACGACTGTCCAGGTCACCCTTCCATATACACAGTCCGTAGGCTTTCTCTAGAGCAAGTCTTTGCTTCCACAGATTTTCCCCCTTTGCTTGTGAGCCATGGCAGCTTCTATGAAGGGCAAGGTGTGCGTGGTGACTGGTGCTTCCAGGGGTATTGGCCGCGGCATCGCCTTGCAGCTCTGCCAAGCGGGCGCCACAGTTTACATCACAGGCCGCCATATGGACACACTGCAGGCCACTGCTGAGGAGGTGGGTGCTTCCTCTTGAACCGCAGGGCCCAAAACCACACCTTCCGCTGATCCCTTACCTGAAGCCATGATATTCCTCAACAAAATGTGAATACTTAAACTAGAATAAGTAAAGCCCATAAATAACTTGAGGTCAGATCAAATTTTGCCACTGAGTTTTATGAAAAAACTTTCTGTCTGAGACCTTCAGGGGTTTAGGAACTGCAACTGAACGGTTGTAGACCTGTGCTTTCCTCTGTTTTAGGCAAGACTTTATTGAGTTGTATACTTCACTTGACTTTTCTACTGGATTTCAGTTAAATAAATATGTGCTTTGCCAGGCACTGTGTGAACCACTGAGGTTAACCAAGACTGGTAAAATGTCACTTCTGCTTTTAAAAGACAGGGCCCAGCAGGCAATCAGAGGCAGATGCAGAATGCTCTGGGAGCATGGGTGAGCAATTAGGAAGCAAGGAGGTAAGAGGGTGGGACCCAGAGCATGGATCCGGAGAATAGGAGGATTGGCCTTGAATAAGGAATTTTTCTTCCTGTGAAGTTAGAGGATGGGGACACATCTGTGGAGGGTGTGATAGAACGGAAAGTAGAAATAGCTGAGAGTTTTGATTTTTCAGTTACCAGGTGGGAGCACTGGCAAGGTGACAGTCAGAGGGCTGGGACTGAATGAGAGTCACCATCGTGAACAATAAAAAAGAGACCCAACTGGTGTATCATGCTAGGCGAACCCTGTGTGCTGTGTTTCGTCTCACTCCCGTGCCAGATGTATGTGTCACTCTGACGTGGGACACATACATCCTTGCCTGTGGATCTGGAGTGAGGATGTGGAGGCCAAAATGGCAGGCACTCACTTTTATTGACCTTCTCTTGATCTAAGACGAAAGAATTTCTTCCTCTAAATATTTTTGTTAGTGTCAACTACAGTAGGGGTTACATGGTGAGTGGTGAAGGGTGGGAGCTCAGGGCATGAGAGATGGAAATGACCAAGGACAAGGAAAAAGAATGATACTCCTGTCCCAGGAGCAGCGCCCCCCCCCCCGCCCCCCCTCTCCACCCCTGCCTTATTTGTCCCTTGCCTTCCACTAGCAGAGTTCAAGGCCTTGCAGCTGGTAGGCCTCAGTGAATGTAGATTTTAAACCTGGAATCCCAGTCCTTTGGGTCTGTAGGGAAAGGACCTAGCATTCCTGAAGCTCCTCAAACAGGCACCAGAGGGTGGTATTGCTCCCCATCTTCCCTCAGCTGCAGGGACCCCCATGCTGGGAATTGAAGAGAGTTGCCTTATGTCTCACACTCATCTGCAACTATAAACTCACACACCCTCTGTCCTTCACCAGGCACAATCTCGAGGGGGCCAGTGTGTGCCCGTGGTGTGCGATTCAAGCCAGGAGAGTGAAGTCCAAAGGCTGTTTGAGCAAGTGAATCAGGAACAGCAGGGGCGTCTGGATGTGCTAGTCAACAATGCCTATGCCGGAGTCCCGGTACCCTTTAAACTTTGATTCCAGCTCCACATTCCTAACCTCCCCCTCTGACCCCGGGGTCCTTATCCTGGGCTCGCTGTCCCTTTCATTATCCAGCCCTCATACCTTCCTGCCTTCAGATCATCCTTCATCACACTCCCTGTGTCTTCCAGGCAATTATGAAAAACATTAACAAGGCATTCTGGGAAAGCCCGGCCTCCATCTGGGATGATATCAATAATGTTGGATTGAGGTGAGTGTTCCCTTTGTCCCACCCCAAGAGCTGGGTTCTCCTCCCTCACTCAGCTGAGGGCCTGGACCTTTCCCCATATGCCCTCTCCTTGTCCCTCTGCCTTTCCCATCTCCCTTTTCTCCTTGTCCCATTTGTCTCACACCTCTGGAGAATTTCCATTCAGGTAGATCTGTAACTGGGAACATTGACTTTTACCTCGTTTCTATCATGAATTTTCATCTGAACTTGCTCTTGGCCACTCTCCTGCCTCACTCTGCACATCCAAATGCATGGCCCAGAAGGGAGCCTCCTTTCCTCAGTAAGGCATACCACCTGAGCTGTCATTAACAAAAATATTTAAGGGAAGAAATTCTTTTGTCTTAGATCAAGAGAAGGTCCATAAGAGCGAGTGCCTGCCATTTTAGCCTCCACATCCTCACTCCAGATCCGCAGGCAAGGGCACTCCCACATCAGAGTTACACATACATCTGGCACAGGAGTGAGATGAAACACAGCACTCAGAGTTCGCCTAGCATGACACACTAGTTGGGTCTCTTTTTTATTGTTGGAATGATGGTGCCCTCTTGGAAACTGTACTCCGTGGATGTGATCAGCCACCTGTGGGGGTAACTAAGAGATTATCTGAAAATCTGTGACTAAAGCATTGAAAAACACCCACAGCTTCTAGTGGCAATCCCAGGGAAGCAGGATTAGAATCCAGCTGTGATTTCCAAGGTAGAAGAAAGATGATGAGGATACAGAGGAATGGTTAGCCAAGAGGCAAGAAAAGAAAGGCCAAAGAGCTGGTAATTGGCAATGCCACACACTTAGCCCTCCAAAGAGAGAGGCTCTCCACAACCTGATCTCTTTTGAGTCAGAGTTTTGAGCCTATAAGGCAGAGAGGCTCAGACCTTGGCCCCTGAGCCCTGATGAATTTTCCAAGATAAAGGCCACTTTGTGAGCCTCCTGGGAGTCTAACAACACGTTCTTACCCTCCCCCCCCACATTCACGTACACATTTACTGGTTGAGCATCTGCCTTTGGCTCAGGGCGTGATCTCAGGATCAAGTCCCACATCGGGCTCCCGGCATGGAGCCTGCTTCTCCCTCCTCCTGTGTCTCTGCCTCTCTCTCTCTCTTAAATAAATAAATAAATCTTAAAAAGGTTTTATTTATTTATTCATGAGAGGCACAGAGAGAGAGGCAGAGACACAGGGACTCCAGGATCGCGCCCTGGGCCAAAGGCAGGCGCTTAACCGTTGAGCCACCCAGGGATCCCCAAATAAAACCTTTTTTTAAAAAAAGAAAATATAATTCCCTCTACTTGTTTCCACTTGGAGGGTCCTGTTTCCCATGCAAATGAAGTATTTTTCTGGTTACTGAGTATGTGTGTGCTGGGTTTTCCCTACAAAAAAGGTGGAAAGCTGAGTTTTGCTTTGCACTCATCCATTGGTGGTTTGTTTTACGAGTGTTCCTCTCAGAAAGTGGCCTCTAGCCCTTCATTCTCCAGCTCTGCAGCCACCCCCATGTGGCCCTCCCCCAGCTGACGCAGCCACTAGAGGGCAGAGGAAGCTTCCAGGGCTACAGCAGCTAGGCCAAAGAGAACATCATTTATTCCTTCTTCTTCCTTGCCCCACCCTCTAGAGGCCACTACCTGTGCTCGGTGTATGGAGCACGGCTCATGGTACCAGCTGGCCAGGGGCTCATCGTGGTCATCTCCTCCATTGGAGGGCTGCAGTATCTCTTCAATGTCTCCTATGGTGTGGGCAAAGCTGCGGTGAGGACCCAATAGCCGCGGGTTAGGGACGCATCAGACAGTGATGGTACCTATAGCTCAGGAGACATAATCCCCAGTGGTCAGAGTAGTACAGCCCACTGGCCCCCACGTCCTCCTCTGCCACTCCACAGATAATTCCTCTGTCAGGGCTCTTGGGTGGCAAAATACTGGGGACCATTGACAGCTGAGACAGGGCTCCTGGGAAGGGCAGGGGCTGGGCATCCCAGCAAAAGCAGGGAAGGCAGGGGAGGAAGGTGATATGGCCAGGTACCCTGCTCTCACCCTGCCTTCTGTCCTTTACAGTGCGACAGGCTGGCTGCGGACTGTGCCCAGGAGCTGCGGCGCCATGGGGTCAGCTACGTGTCTCTGTGGCCAGGGTTGGTGCAAACAGAACTAGTGAAGGAGGTCGTGGTGAAAAACGAAAATACTGATGATCCCCTATTGAAACAGGTTGGCAAGAGGAGGGTGAGGGAGGTAGAGAATGCAGAGGACTCAGCCTCTCCGTCCTCCATGACAAGACAGTACCCAGAGAGCCAGTCCCCCAGTGCCTACTACAGCAGGCTGAGCACTGGACACACGCTGTGCCCTTTCATCCTGTAAGGGAGATATCTCCATTTTACAGATGGCAAAACCAAAAGCTGGAAAGATTAGAAACTTGCTCAAAGTCATGTATGCCATAAGTGGAAAGGCCTCGTGCCCTGAGGCCTCTGCTCTTGACCCCTGCACTAAACTAACCTAGGAGGTCCAGACATAGCTGACATCCCAGGATGCTTCCACTTAGGAGAGACAGTGGGTCCTGGTGCCAGAGTACAGGGCTCACCTGCATGTAGGGAAAAGTGGTTCCAACACCTAAGATTCGGAGTCCTGCAGGTACAGTGATGAGGGCCTGTCTCTCCTGGAATAGAAACTGAAAGTGGGGAAGAAATGTGGGCACTTTGCTTGGAGATTAACCGTTCACTTCTCTGACCCCTGTGTTTCAGCTCAGATCTAATTTCTCCTCTGCAGAGACCACAGAAATGAGTGGCAAATGTGTGGTGGCTTTGGCAACAGGTAAAGAGGTTGGGGACAGGTGGTAACAAGAAGGGCCTGAAGAATCTGCAGGGTGAGTCCTAGCTCAGGAAGTGGTTGAGGAATATGCCCTTCTTTTCTCTGGCTTCTGGAGAGCCAAAGCAGCCCTGTTTGAGGTTTGGGAGCCTCAGGAACTGGCTTACAAGAAGTTTAGGAAATTTCCTAGGAATAGGGAGAAATAATTCTGGGCACCCAAACCTGTCTGAGCGCTACCCAGTCCCATCGGGCCCAAATCTTGTCACACTGTGTCACTTCCTTGCCTTCTCAGCTGTTATTTGTGCTCACAGACCCCAATATCCTGAGCCTGAGTGGGAAGGTGCTGCCATCTTGTGACCTTGCTCGCCGCTACAGCCTTCAGGATGTGGATGGTAAGAGCTCTGGCCCAGCAGCCAGCCTGGACCTCCCTTCCTCCATTGCGTGCTCACTCCTCCTTCTCCCACACTCTCTCCCTATTCCTTCTTCCCTCACATCCCACTTGGGCTCTTCAGCCAGGGTAGAGGTGTTTATGGAGTGGGAAGTGAGGGTCTAACCTTCCTCCTCTTCCTGTGGTCCACAGGCCGCCCCATCCAAGACTATTTGTCTTTGAGCTCGGTTCTCTCCCATGCCTCTAGCCTGGGCTGGCTGGCCTCCTACTTGCCTGGCTTCCTTCGTATGCCCAAGTGGATTATGACCCTCTACGCTAGCAAATTCTAACCGTCCTGGCCTGATGTCACAACTCTGTTCTCTCTCAGGCTACATGGTAGGGCGGGTCTCAGTGAAACAAGGCAGGCTCTTCTGCCTACCACATACCCTTGATAGGAAGAGAAAGCTTCCACTGTGTTTCCTGGGTGAGCCCTGGGGCCCCTAAGGGATCCCCCTTTATGCCTTAACTTTACCTGCCCCTACATTTTACTTTTTGCCTTAGTGTTAAAAAATATTCTGGGGGCTAATAAAAGTCTCATTTCTCTTTCAGTGAGTTTTGACTGTTGATTCTGTGCTCAGCAAAGTGTTAAGTGCTTGAGAGAAAGACTACAAGATATGCAAAATGTTCAGGTCCTCAAGGAGTACCATTCCCAGGACAAAGCCCCTTTCCTCCAGGTGTGCTCATGCTCTTCCCTGTAGAGCTGCCCATCTCAGGGCACCTGCCCTTTGACTGCGAGGACTGTTTCCACACCCTCAGCTGGGGAACAAGGTCCCTCCACAACCAGAACCAGGCATACTCCTGTCTCAGGACTTTCCCACCCCCTCATTCCACCATCTCTTTGGGCGATGGCTGCTGCCTTCTAGCTGGGCCTGATTTCAGGGCAGCTAGGGCAGATTCTTTGGCATTTATGATTTCCTGGCATTTGGGAGGAAAGTAGTGTCCAAATCCAAGTGAAAGGCAGAGGAATAGCTGATGGTGCTGACATACTTTCATCCTTCCTCTTGGGATGGTATCACTTGAATTGCTTCCTGAGGAACTGACTGCAAGAGCCCTTTAGGCCCTGCTCCAGGGGCTGTCCCAGCCTGAGACAAGACAGTAGGGTGTGTGTGGCAAGGAGGAGCCAAGAGCCACTCTGAGGGAGCCTTTGCAGCAACAGCCTAGATGGCCATCAGTGGAATGGGATGGCTGCTGTCAGTCAGAGGTGCAAAGATCATTTCTAATCTTTGGAAAATGCAAAGTGAGAGCTGAGGCTTCCCAAAGCTGCCATAGCATGTGCAGAGCTATGACCTTCCTGTGGCTTTTGAGAACAGCTCTGCTTACTGTCCCAGTGATGTGCTAGGGCAGTTCACCGGCTTGTGAGTGCTGGCTGTGCTTCTCTTCCAACTCTGCAATCAGTGGTAACTTCACGTTTGTTGCTTGAATTTAGCCACAGTGAGAGTATAGAAGCCACAGAAACCAATAAAGGCTGCTAATCAGGGTTTTTATTTTTTTAAAGAGCTGGCTTAGCACATGACTAGAACTATGTACCTAAATGCCACCATTTGCCCAAGCACTCCATTTAGATCACAGTGGTCAGATATTCTTAGCACCCTCTCACCCCCTTCCACTCACCACCCAAAGTTCCTATTATCTCCTAAGGCTGGTGACGGATAGAGGCATTGCCTAAATGCAATATGAATAAGGGCTTCTAGATCTCTTGCAGCCTTCCACAGCTACCATTAGAACAAATCCTTGCTTGATGGTGTTGTCTTCTAAAGACCGCAAGGGATTATGGAAAGAATATGGGCCTCGGAGTCATGTAAATCTACATACAAATTTTGACCCCACCACTTTGGGAATAAAATGAAATAACATGTATAAAACACAAGGCAGTATGTAGCCATCTAAGTTGTCAGTTCCTCCCTTTTTTCTCTGGGCCGCCAACATACCATCCAGACTGAGGAAGACCTGGGAACTTCGGGGCCACATGAGCCATGGCCGCGGCCACATTGGCAAGCACCAGAAGCACCCAGGAGGCCAGGGTAATGCTGGTGGCATGCATCATCACAGGATCAACTTTGACAAATATCACCCAGGTTACTTTGGAAAAGTCGGTAGAGACATTACCACTTAAAGAGAAACCAGAGCTTTTGCCCAACTGTCAACCTTGATAAAGTGTGGACCTTAGTCAGTGAGCAGACACAGGTAAATGCCGCCAAAAACAAGACTGGAGCTGCTCCTATTATCAATGTGCGATCGGGCTACTACAAAGTTTTGGGAAAGGGAAAGCTCCCAAAACAGCCTATCATCGTGAAGGCCAAATTCTTCAGTAGAAGAGCTGAGGAAAAGATAAAGGGTGTGGGGGGTGCCTGCGTTCTATTAGCTTGAAGCCACATAGGGGGAGGTTCATTAAATGCTAACAAGTGCTAAAAAAAAAAAAAAAAAAAAAAAAAAAAAAAACAGTTCCTTCTCTTGACAAATATTAAAGAATGTGCGCTGCTCCAATCAGCACCATTCTTGGCTTTGGGAGGAGCACAGAGCACAAGACAAACCAGGCCCTGGCCCACAAAGGACTTTCACTTCAGCCCCAGAAGACCTTAGGAGCCATCTAGATTTTTCCACCAGAGGAAGTGAGGGAGCTGAGGGCCCCAGGGTCCACATCACATGGAGTTAAACCTAGTGGTTTTTTGTTTTGTTTTGTTTTTAGATTTTATTTATTTATTCATGAGAGACACACACACACAGAGGCAGAGACATAGGTAGAGAGAGAAGCAGGCTCCCTGCAGGGAGCCCGAAGTGGGACTCAATCCTACCTCAGTTCTGGTCTAACTGGTCCTCAGTTGCAGGAAAACAGAGGGCAGTGTTCTTTCTGGTACAACACCCTGCTTCCCCCTAACAGGCATCAGTTACTCTTCAAAACAAGCAATAGAGTAACAGTGCTCTGAAGGAAAGAAATGTGGACAGTGAGTTTTGATTGGAGGCACAAGAGATCCAACATCTAAGAAACCCAATAACAGTCTCAGGACATTGAGGGGATGGACATTTCTTCCAAAAACTGTGTATTAAATGCCTACACTCTTCCCAGCACCATGTCAGACACCAGGAAAGACTAGTTAAGTTTGTGAGACAAGTGTCATGGCCAAGTTTACACGGAGTGCCCTGAGAATACTGGAGGAAGCAACTAGCTCCATTAGAGAACCCAAGGAAGTGATACTGGCCAGAGACTTAAAAAATGGGGAAGGGGAGGCTTAATTATTTTTTTTTAAATTATTTCTAATTTAAAAAATAAGTGGTACATATGAAGGCATAAAGGCAATCCTTTTCTCTCCTAGACTCCCTCATTGTCACATGAAGCACAAGCAGCTACCAGTTCCTCTGCTCTTCTGGCACACAAGTTCAGGCAGGCCCCAGACCCCCAACCTCGCTCCAAGCCAGCTGGCCCACTTCTGAGCTCCCAAAGCACCTCAGTACAGAGGGCAGCGGCGTTCACTCAGAGAAGGTCCAGCCCGTGCCCATCCTCAGCCCCTGCTCAGGGTGGATTCTGCATCTGTAGCTCGGCGTGAGCACTCTGAGCTGGGTCAGCCTGGTCAAACGGGAAGCCCCGCGGCTGTGTGAATAGGCCCGAGCAGTGACACACAGGTTGCATGCAGGGTGGGGTGGTTGGCCAAGATGCGTGTCAGGGAGGGGCCAGCACAGAGATGAGCAGGGGTGACCCTGGATGCCTGGAGGCAGGAACCGAGAGATTTTGCAGGGAAAGGCAGAGATGAGGGTGTCGTAACACTCCCAGGAAAGTGAAGTCTGAAAGGAATGAGAGTTGTGTGGCCTGGGAGGCAGCCTGGCTATGCTGACCTCTCCTGTTTCTTTGAGTCCCCACCCTGGGTCTCCCCATGGTCATCTCATTGTCTCCTGGTGATAACTGAAAGCACTCTGAGAACCAGATCTTTGTTTTATGAGGCCTGCCTGCACCTGTCACCTTTCCCTGCCCAGGGCTGGGCACAGAGAAGGCTGCAGCTGACGCCAGATGACCAGGAAATGGAAGGGCAGGGAGAAGACTCAGCACAGGGGCCAGGGAAGGAGCAGGAAAGGATGGGCTGTGGTGCCAGGAGGAGCAGTGGAAGGATGGGGGGCCTGAGAGGGCCTAGGCAGAAGGGGCCAGAGACAGGGCTTTGTGGAGGAGTAGACTAACCAAGTGGGTGAGAACCAGGGACCAAATGGGATGGGGGCAGGCTGTAGCAAAGTGACTTCTGAGGTTACCATGGGATCTCTGCCCAGTGATAGGGAGACCAAGGAGCTGGAGGGGCCTCAAGAAAGATCTCAGAAGAATTAAGGCCTTGGAAGACTATGGGTAGGTAGGAGCGAGGAGAAGAAGGAAAATGGGCAGGCCTGCGCCCAGCTACTTCATCTTGATTCCCCCCCTGGGCTCGGGCTCCTGTGGGGCCCTCATGTGGGCTTTTCTTTCCCCTTGCCTGAATCCCCATCCCACTCTCACATCACCCACAGGGGCCTTCAGGAACTGATGGGAACAACTCCTCAGTGACTTGTCCTGAAAGCTGGAATCTACCCCTCTACCCAGCCTTTGCTCCTCTCTGTGCTGGCCCCTCCCCGACACACCTTGGCCAACCACCCCACCCCGCATGCAACTGTGGGTGTCTGCTCTGGCCCACCCACACAGCCGCGGGGCTTCCCGTTTGACCAGGCTGACCCAGCCCGGAGAGCTCACGCTGAGCTGCAGACTCAGAATCCACCCTTGAGCAGGGGCTGAGGATGGGCACGGGCTGGACCTTCTCTGAGTGACCACTGCTGCCCTCTGTACTGAGGTGCTTTGGAGCTCAGAAGTGGGCCAGCTGGCTTGGAGCGAGGTTGGGGGTCTGGGGCCTGCCTGAACTTGTGTGCCAGAAGAGCAGAGGAACTGGTAGCTGCTTGTGCTTCATGTGACAATGAGGGAGTCTAGGAGGGAAAAGGACCCCATTTTAGGCCCCTGGAAATGGAGGGGCCTGTGAGAAATGCTGGGGAAGAGGCAGAGGGAGGAAGGAGAGTCAGCTTGCTGCTATCTCTGTTAGCAGATGCAGACACAGATGCACCTGTCCTCCAGAGTGAGCAGGTCTTGGCTCCCCACTCCTTGGAGAGGTGGTTGCAGAAAAAACAAGGAAAGCCAGAACTCCACAGACAATGCTGGCATCCCTAGAGGGGCTCATGCTGGTGGGAACAAAGGTAACTCAGTGTCGGACTTTTACTTTCTCTTGAACAAAACTAAGCCAGCCAGAGACTTGCATTACGGTAGGAGCTGAGGGAGTTAGCATCTACTGAGCACCTGCACTGACCTAGACCATCCGCCTAGGTCTTACTTAATCTTTTCACATCTGCCACATGAGGTCAGGTACTGATTACAGCTTTGGAAACTCAAAAAGTCTCACAAATTTGAGGAACTTGTCTAGGTTGCAAGTTTTTATAGCCAAAGTCTCTAGCTTCAATGTATGACTCCAGAGTGTGGGCTCTTTCCCCCCTGCCTCTAATGCTTGGGTTTTTTGTTTGGTTTGGTTTGGTTTGGTTTGGTTTGGTTTTGGTTTGG